TAAAGGTATTCAGTTTATTAAAGGTATTTAGTTTATTAAAGGTATTTAGTTCATTAAAGGTATTTAGTTTATTAAAGATATTTAGTTTACTAAAGGTATTTAGTTTATTAAAGGTATTTAGTTTATTAAAGGTATTTAGTTTACTAAAGGTATTTAGTTTATTAAAGGTATTTAGTTTATTAAAGGTATTTAGTTTATTAAAGGTATTTAGTTTATTAAAGGTATTCAGTTTATTAAATGTATTTAGTTTATTAAAGATATTTAGTTTACTATAGGTATTTAGTTTATTAAAGGTATTTTGTTTATTAAAGGTATTTTGTTTATTAGAGGTATTTAGTTTAATAAAGATATTTAGTTTATCAAAGGTATTTAGTTTAATAGAGGTATTAGTTTAATAAAGATATTTAGTTTAATAAAGATATTTAGTTTATTAAAGGTATTTAGATAGAAGACTTCTTTTTAAAAAAACATTTTTTTTGGAATGCAATTATTTTCATTGAATCCCACTAATCTTAAAACTTTTTCATCCAGGTCCATGTTAAAACCAGCTTTTTACAAAGGAATGTTATTTACTCTCGGTTAGAACCAATGGAAATCTAATTTTTTATACTTTATCTTTATTACTTTAAATTCAGAGATATGAATGTTGGATGTTAAAGGACTGGTTGGTAATAAACCACTAGGGGATGTTATAGGACTGGTTGGTAATAAACCACTAGGGGATGTTAAAGGACTGGTTGGTAATAAACCACTAGGGGATGTTATAGGACTGGTTGGTAATAAACCACTAGGGGATGTTATAGGACTGGTTGGTAATAAACCACTAGGGGATGTTATAGGACTGGTTGGTAATAAACCACTAGGGGATGTTATAGGACTGGTTGGTAATAAACCACTAGGGGATGTTATAGGACTGGTTGGTAATAAACCACTAGGGGATGTTATAGGACTGGTTGGTAATAAACCACTAGGGGATGTTATAGGACTGGTTGGTAATAAACCACTAGGGGATGTTATAGGACTGGTTGGTAATAAACCACTAGGGGATGTTATAGGACTGGTTGGTAATAAACCACTAGGGGATGTTATAGGACTGGTTGGTAATAAACCACTAGGGGATGTTATAGGACTGGTTGGTAATAAACCACTAGGGGATGTTATAGGACTGGTTGGTAATAAACCACTAGGGGATGTTATAGGACTGGTTGGTAATAAACCACTAGGGGATGTTATAGGACTGGTTGGTAATAAACCACTAGGGGATGTTATAGGACTGGTTGGTAATAAACCACTAGGGGATGTTATAGGACTGGTTGGTAATAAACCACTAGGGGATGTTATAGGACTGGTTGGTAATAAACCACTAGGGGATGTTATAGGACTGGTTGGTAATAAACCACTAGGGGATGTTATAGGACTGGTTGGTAATAAACCACTAGGGGATGTTATAGGACTGGTTGGTAATAAACCACTAGGGGATGTTATAGGACTGGTTGGTAATAAACCACTAGGGGATGTTATAGGACTGGTTGGTAATAAACCACTAGGGGATGTTATAGGACTGGTTGGTAATAAACCACTAGGGGATGTTATAGGACTGGTTGGTAATAAACCACTAGGGGATGTTATAGGACTGGTTGGTAATAAACCACTAGGGGATGTTATAGGACTGGTTGGTAATAAACCACTAGGGGATGTTATAGGACTGGTTGGTAATAAACCACTAGGGGATGTTATAGGACTGGTTGGTAATAANCTACAGGATATGGGAGCTAAGGTATAGATACTGAGGAGCAGTTTAATACTGCTCAACATATACTAAAGGATATGGGAGCTAAGGTATAGATACTAAGGAGCAGTTTAATACTGCTCAGCATATGCTACAGGATATGGGAGCTAAGGTATAGATACCTAGGAGCAGGTTAATACTGCTCAACATATGCTACAGGATATGGAAGCTAAGGTATAGATACTGAGGAGCAGTTTAATACTGCTCAACATATACTACAGGATATGGGAGTTAAGGTATAGATACTGAGGAGCAGTTTAATACTGCTCAACATATACTACAGGATATGGGAGCTAAGGTATAGATACTGAGGAGCAGTTTAATACTGCTCAATATATACTACAGGATATGGGAGCTAAGGTATAGATACTGAGGAGCAGTTTAATACTACTCAACATATACTACAAGATATGGGAGTTAAGGTATAGATACTGAGGAGCAGTTTAATACTGCTCAGCATATACTACAAGATATGGGAGCAAAGGTATAGATACTGAGGAGCAGTTTAATACTGCTCAACATATACTACAGGATATGGGAGCTAAGCTATAGATACTGAGGAGCAGTTTAACACTACTCAACACGTATAACAGGATATGGGAGCTAAATACAAATTATTTTTAAGTTTTTTTTTTCAAAAATACAGAAATACCAGGAAATCTCTTACTTTTAATGTTTACAATCAAAGTGTGCTTAACGGATTATGAGGATTTCAAAGCGTCTCTTTTATTGCATTATTATTTTTAAATTTTATTTTCAGATAACTCACTGTGGAGGGGTTGGTACAGGGGGAGCTGTAAAGATCTTATTTTCAGATAACTCACTGTGGAGGGGTTGGTACAGGGGGAGCTGTAAAGATCTTATTTTCAGATAACTCACTGTGGAGGGGTTGGTACAGGGGGAGCTGTAAAGATCTTATTTTCAGATAACTCACTGTGGAGGGGTTGGTACAGGGGGAGCTGTAAAGATCTTATTTTCAGATAACTCACTGTGGAGGGGTTGGTACAGGGGGAGCTGTAAAGATCTTATTTTCAGATAACTCACTGTGGAGGGGTTGGTACAGGGGGAGCTGTAAAGATCTTATTTTCAGATAACTCACTGTGGAGGGGTTGGTACAGGGGGAGCTGTAAAGATCTTATTTTCAGATAACTCACTGTGGAGGGGTTGGTACAGGGGGAGCTGTAAAGATCTTATTTTCAGATAACTCACTGTGGAGGGGTTGGTACAGGGGGAGCTGTAAAGATCTTATTTTCAGATAACTCACTGTGGAGGGGTTGGTACAGGGGGAGCTGTAAAGATCTTATTTTCAGATAACTCACTGTGGAGGGGTTGGTACAGGGGGAGCTGTAAAGATCTTATTTTCAGATAACTCACTGTGGAGGGGTTGGTACAGGGGGAGCTGTAAAGATCTTATTTTCAGATAACTCACTGTGGAGGGGTTGGTACAGGGGGAGCTGTAAAGATCTTATTTTCAGATAACTCACTGTGGAGGGGTTGGTACAGGGGGAGCTGTAAAGATCTTATTTTCAGATAACTCACTGTGGAGGGGTTGGTACAGGGGGAGCTGTAAAGATCTTATTTTCAGATAACTCACTGTGGAGGGGTTGGTACAGGGGGAGCTGTAAAGATCTTATTTTCAGATAACTCACTGTGGAGGGGTTGGTACAGGGGGAGCTGTAAAGATCTTATTTTCAGATAACTCACTGTGGAGGGGTTGGTACAGGGGGAGCTGTAAAGATCTTATTTTCAGATAACTCACTGTGGAGGGGTTGGTACAGGGGGAGCTGTAAAGATCTTATTTTCAGATAACTCACTGTGGAGGGGTTGGTACAGGGGGAGCTGTAAAGATCTTATTTTCAGATAACTCACTGTGGAGGGGTTGGTACAGGGGGAGCTGTAAAGATCTTATTTTCAGATAACTCACTGTGGAGGGGTTGGTACAGGGGGAGCTGTAAAGATCTTATTTTCAGATAACTCACTGTGGAGGGGTTGGTACAGGGGGAGCTGTAAAGATCTTANGTAATAATTTGTTAAAGGGACCCACCGCCAAATTAGGTAATAAGTTTTTAATGAACTACTGTCAAACTATTTTGATTTAATTTTTATTAAAGGGACCCACCGCCAGATTTGTTAGTTTTTAGTTATAGAGTGACAACTCAAGATTAGCTCAATACTTATTTAAAGGACCCACCGCCATCTATAAAGATCTTTGTTGATGTTTACAAAATATATTTCAAGCGACATGTTTGCTTCTCTTAATCTGTGTCATGGATACAATTTTGTTTACTATTTTTAATTACATAATTAGAATCGTTATTTTGAAATATTACAGTGAAAACATTATCAATTGCACTAAAAGTAGAAAACCTTTTTTCTACTGTAACCTCCCCTAAGCAAATTGTATAATTTCCCCATACAATTTTCTATAGATGAGTGATACAATACATTAAGTTAAGATAAATGTTTTAATGTTAAGTTAAGAACTTCATACATATATTAAAATAATAATGTAAAACAAAACAATGTATTTAATGTAAAACTGTATTTTATTTAGCTTTCTCTATTAACAATTGTATCTTTCATTTTAGTTACAGAAACTCTGGTTTTTATTTATAAGATTTTAGACTGAGTTTAATGAATTAAAATGGTCGTTGAACTACCTACACCCGGTTCAAATTCTGAATCACCGATTCAAATCATCATGAATCTTTAACTTTGAATCAATGATTTAGGCTTTGAAGCAGAGGAATAGGTTAATTCAGCGACTTCTCTCTAATTAATAATATTCCGTTCTAGGCCTGATAGAATTATACATAAATGCAAGCAAAACTTAAAGAAAACGAATTTAAATTTAAGATTTTAGGAAGTTGAGATTTCTAGGTCGCCATTAAAGGCTGCACCTTTTTGATAAATTCTGTACGGACAGTTAAAATATATCTTTAATACTATTTTCTTTGTTTCCTAATCAATAAAATAGGTCAGTTGTTATCCCGTAATCTAGGTCTTTTATATTCTATTCTGATGCGTCGAAACTTATTGCGTACATTGGAGAGCTGCCATGAGATCAAAAAGGAATTCTTTGAAAAGAAGCAATTTCTTTTTTCCATTTTCCTATTCCTTGCATTCTTTTTGTTGTATATTTTATTTAAAAGTAATTGAACCCCTATTTACCCCTGCTAAATATTCTAAATATTAGAAAGTAACAGGTTGGCTAGTCAACGGAAAGTTAGTCAACGAGAGAAAGCATTATATCTTCATATACCTGATATTTACGCGGCTCCCGGCTTAAATACAACAAATCTTGATAAAACAAGAAAGAAATCTGAGAAAGTCTGTGAAATTTGAGAGTTGGTTCTGCGGAATCATTGCACCAAGAGAATACTTAAGTAGAGAATTTAGAACAGTTCTAAGCATGCCACGAAGGAAGGAAGTTGAAAGTTTGGATTCTCTTTGTTTCAAGGTTTTTCCTTCCATCGTAGAGAATGTTTGTCTCCGGGTTGAAGATATAGTAGAGAAGGGTCGAGCTAGAGGATTGTTCCAACGGGATATTGATTATAAAATTCATCTTTTCATTGAGGAAATACAACAAGCTTTGTTCACCAACACACCGAGATGTTTTCACAACAATTTTGTCAGGAAAACTAGATTTTTTAAATCTTTTTTTTCTTTTGTTTGTCTATAGAGTGTTCCAAATCGAATTCATTGAGAACTTTATAATTTTTTTATGCTTAAATTTTCAACCATGGGATTTTCAAAATTTAGTAACTTTTGTTCGCTTTAAATTTACGGAGATTTTAAAAATCTTGCTACGTTATGACATCAGTTTAAGCTTAATAAGTTTTACTATCTTTATACTCTTTTTTAAAGCTGGTATTTTGAATTGACTTTTTGCCACAAACTCTGATTTTCTATTTTCAATATCTTTGCAACCCAATGACGTAGATCTTTAATATTTCAAAAAATGAATGCTATTAGATCAAATAATGTAAGTTTGAAATATCAAAGGTTTACATTATAAGAATGCAAAGATATAGGTTTTACAAAAGCTGAATTTGTGGCAAAGACTCAATTCCTTTGATGAGAATTAATGAATAATGATATACAACATTGGGTTGCGCGTTGCAAAACTATTGGGATTTAAAAATTCCATGTTTTTCGTGACCCCCTTCATTGAAAAAAACGTTGGGCTGTATTTTTTTTGGGGTTTGGGGTTCCAAGTTTGAATAATTAAAAAATATTTTGTGATGCTGAAAAATCTAGTTTTTAGTCAATTTTTGAAAGCGTTGTCAACATATCTTGAGAAACGAAGAATCCAATCAGCTCATCAGATCCATGACAAAGAAACATTAAACCATCTCACATTGTCTCAACGTCGACTAATCTGGTTCCAAGATCAAGCTTTAGTCAACTGTGGAAAGATTGTTCTACACCCATATGTAAAAGAGTTATCGTTGTCCTGTAATCATAAGATAACTCAAGCTCTGTTCAGATATATACCAGAATGTTCCCACCTTCAAACCCTAAATCTGCTTGGAATCAGCTCTAGAGAAATACTGAAAGGTTGCGAAGTTTTCCAATTTTTACCGGAACTGAAAAAATTATGTTTGCAAGATGCAGACTCAGAAATAATTTATTCTGTTAGCCTATTCTGTTCCAGCCTGACAACTCTAATACTTCATCATACTGATATCAATGATGAAATAATTTCCCAAATTTCAAGTTTGAAACAGTTAAAAACATTTAATGTAGAAGGAGACTCAATAATATCACCCTACGGGTTTGCAGAGCTTTTGCGAACATTACCAGACCTAAGAAACCTTGGAAAATGCAACTCATTTGGGGAGGTTTTAACAACCCTATACTCTAAATGGTCTTTATACCACAGATACCATGGGACAACACCTAAGGTTTTAAAGCTCGAAAGTGTTGATTGTGATGGTCCTATTACTGGTAAAGAGATTGTCAACCTTCAAGTTTACTGTCCCAATCTGAAATCTCTGAAGCTGGTTTATAATCTATTTAATCGTCAGGAATCGAATGAATCCTGTGGTCATCTATTTTCACTTGCAGGGTTATCCAATCTTACAATTCTAGGGATAACATCAGCTGACTTCTACAGTCACTCCCTCTTCTCTATTCTCAGAGAAGGTTCAAGGATAACAAGCCTAGAGCTGACAAATATTGATGAAATGAATTTAAGTTCTATAATTATGATTGGATCTGGATGTAGACACTTGGAGGTTTTAAGCATTAACTGTTGCCACTATAATGTTGAAACTAATGATGCTAAAAAGATTTCGGAGATATTTGCTGAAGCTGAATTTCACAAAGATAATCTTCCTTTTTCTAATTTAAAGGAAGCTACTTTTATTCTTACAACCTCCACCCATCTTCCCCTCATGAAATATCCTGTTTTCTTTGCTCGAGGTTTAAAAGAACTGAGGTTGAACCAGATTTACCAACCTTTAGAAGATAGTTTTATTACATCCTTGCTCTCCTGGAATCCTCTGAAATATTTAGAAAAGTTTGAATTGAACAGAGGTCCTCACTTGTCCATTATGGCTGCTAATGCTATTATTTTGGCTTGTCCAAACCTACGATACATTGGTAAAATCTCAAGTTGGGGAATGGTGGATAAAGAAGAGGTTCTGGCGATGCAAGGGGAAATCAGGAATAGAAATCTGGATCTTGTATTAATCTAGATGCAGTGAAACCGCAATGATTGTGATAAATTTTATTGTAATATTTTACCAGAAAATATCTTGTGTTTATTTGGGAGCCATTGTATTTTAATATCAAATATATTTAATATTTATGATTTTTGATTCATGATGAAAATTTGGTACAGTTTTGCCAACGTTGCATTCATATAGATTCACAACAACAGTACCCTTGAAAACCTATGTCTGATTATTTATAAATGTAATTATAGTTTTTCTACTAGTACATTTTTTATTCATGATTTATCTGCGAAGGTATACTGTATACTAATTATGTAGGAGAGAAATTGAATACACTTAAAATTAACATTTTAAAATATAATAAGCGTTATCTAATTATTAATTTTTACTACTCAATTAAATTTTTAATGGGTTACCGTTGTTAGTTGGATATGCCACTCGTTTTTAAATGTTTTTTTTTTTACTTTTTCATTCCTAAAAATAGGTAAATATTTTCTAGTTTGTAATGTGGAATGTTTGTAAAAGATCAGTAATGCAAGTTAAATTTCTACTTTATCAGAGGTGGAGGGAATCCCATGCCGCCATGAGCCTCCCAGATTTGCTTTGCAGCGGCGAGCCTCCGCAATGCAGTATAAATTTCATACTAAAACGTTAAAAAGTTTTTAACGCGAAAAGCATATTAAGAAAACAAATTATAAAGTAGATTTGATTAGATTTGTTTATATCTTTTATTTAAGCAATACTCTTGTTTAAAGATTTTAACAAATCCAATAGAATTTGTTTTATAATTGGATTTTGTAATATATTCCTTTTCGCTTGAAAAAAGTTTTGAAGTTTAAGTATAGAGTTTGTATTGCCTAGCGGAGGCTCGGTGCTGCATAGCAAATCTGGGAGGCTCATGGCGGCGGGGGATTCCCACCCACATTATTTACCTAATGGGAAATCAAAAAATTCTTTCACGGAAACTATTTTCAGCGATATAAATTTTGTGGATTTTTCAAGTTATTGCAAAGTTATAGCTTGTTAAATATTTAAGGGTTTTTATTAAAACAGAAATTTGACCCAAAAACACAGAATTCTGTTTTTAAATCTATAAAATCAAAACATATATCCATCGCATGTTTCAGCCTGGGATTGGACCCTAAGTTGCTGGCAGGGATTCTGGGATCAGCTACAGGTCGCTGCTGGTCAGTTGACACATACAATCCATGCCCTGGTGTGATGCCTAATGTACCCTCCAGTAACGATTACAAGGTAAAGTAAAAACTTCTCCTCACCTCACAAAATAAAATTAAGCTACCAACAGGGCATGATCAATTCTTGTTCTTTAAATTTAAATTTTAATTCAATTATGTCAACAAATTTTAATGAATAATTTTATTTCAAAATTTTCGAAGGAAACATTAATTTGATTAAATCAATTATCATGAATATTCTTGTTTTCTTACACTTAATGGAAAATTGTTTAAATGTTTAAAACTAACTTTAGTTTTAGTTATGATCAAAGAGTTATTTTTTTTCAAAAAACATGGGCCCTGACTTGTGATAAAACGTAACGTAAACCAGAAAACTTTGGAATAAAAAGATGCCAGACTCAAATTATGATTGAATAGTCCGATGAACATGAGACACAGTAATTGCGCGGTGTAAACAGACCACTTTTTAAGTGATGTAATATAAGTTACTAGCAAAACTAGTATTTGCTTGAGTACAGCTTGATTACAATTATAATATCGTCTTCCCATACCACAGTTTTCTGATTCTCACTGTAATATATTGATCAGGGAGGGTTTGGTACTTCTCTGATGACAAAAGATTTGGGACTAGCGCAGGATGCCGCAACACGTTCTCAAGCTGCCACCCCGCTTGGGTCACTTTCACATCAGGTACAGCTTAACTATTGAAAAAATTATTTTAAAAATAAAAAAATAAAATTTACTTTATTTAATTGTCATTCTAGATCTACCGAACGATGTGCAATAATGGATTTGCAGAGAAAGATTTTAGTTCTGCATTCAAATTTTTGCAGAAAAAGACATAATTGATAATTATACCTCATTGTCTTTTGGTAAAAAATATACAATAAGTTAGAAACTATTATTTCTGTTTGTAAATAAAGTTGAATAAAGTGAATTTCTCTTTTGTTGGAACATCAAAGACAGCCAGAGCTTTGTTGTCTGATGATAAAAAGAAAATTCTTTTATAAAAGACAATGAGAAACCCATCCATCTCTAACAGTTAGAGCTGGGCATCATTTTTATTTGACCAATTAGGGCTGGGCATCGTTATTTAATCGATCAATTAGAGCTGGGCATCATTATTCAATCGGTCCAGACAATGTGAAACCCATCCATCTCTAATAATTAGAGCTGGGCATCCTTTTTTTATTTGACCAATTAGGGCTGGGTATCGTTACTCAATCGATCAATTAGAGCTGGGCATCATTTTTTCATTTGACCAATTAGGGCTGGGAATCTTTACTCAATCGATCAATTAGAGCTGGGCATAATTTTTCGGTCATACTAGAAAAACGCTTCACTCATAAAACCCTACTTAGATAAAACGCTTCCTATAAAACGCTACACTCATAAAACGCAACTAGATATAACGCTAGTAAAGAAAAAAACCGCTACTTTATCAAGTTATCATAATATTAGGTTTAATTTTTTTAATATAGAATTGGGGGGGGGGGAGGTTGTAAATGGTCAATTATGATATAATACTGCAGTAATGGCACAACTTTAGAGGTTGAGACAGGCGCGGGGCAGGTTGGGGTGACCAAAAGCGATGAAATTCATCTTCAAAATTATTTCAAATAGTTAAATCTGAAATTTTATCTAAACCATCATCGTGATATATTATATCTTGATTATCATTTTTGCACAAATCTAATATTTTTCACTATTCCGCCATTAGTGTAGCATGAAGGTTCTGAAACAGTTTCTGTTAAAAGTAACATTCAAACTACTTTTGCTGAATATTTTCCTGACGTGACATCGTCAGGGTGTTTTTTTTATTATGCCAAAAGTATTTGCACATTGAACACGTGTTTTAAAAAGATTGACTTGGAAAAATCTATTCTAAAGACAGAAAGGAACCAAAGTTTGGTGAATAGATTGAAAAAGTGACATAAGATTGCAGACAACATGATGATTTACATTAAAAACTACTCACTCAAGCTTGATTTAAAGCTATGGAATATGTTTGACGTCAAAGTCAGAACAAATAATCAAGCCGAAGGTTAAAATTATGCACTGTGCGGTAAAAAGTTTATCTCAAAACATCCAACTCTATACACATTAGGTAGTGTTTTCGTAATAGTTGAATAATACGTCCGACAATGCTTTGGTGGCAGTGGTGTCAAAGTTCAGGAGAAAAGTTTCAAAAAATTATCAGAATCGAACCTTCATGAGGAATACAACATTCTGAATTGATATTACTCATCCTTCTGAGCTGGGAACTTTTGTGTCGGAGACTCACAACCGCGATATCCAATGTAGGCACTTTAAATTTGAGAATCAATGCTTCATTTCTTCATTTCAGTTATCCCGGGGTACACTGCGGAATGCTGATATCGAATAAAGATTAAATTAATCTGCAGATTAAAAAAGATCTAGATTACCGCTTCTACAAAAATATGTCATGTGCGTCAATCTTTGTTAAAAATAAAAAGGGTAGATACAAAAGAGTATATGCAAGAGAAACATTCACTTACGTAAAATGTTCAACGCTGAAATAACGAAATGTTCATATGAACTGAAAACTTGAAAGTAAGATTTTTTTCTCTAGTTTTTTCCATATTTTAAAGTTGGACATTGATATGAATGTATATATTGCCAATTTTTAAAAATATACTACACGTAAGAAGTTAATTCATTTGTTTAGATTAAAGATTTTATAGTTAGACAATTATTGAATCCGAAATATGTTTGCAACATATTTAACAGTTTAAAAGATGTTTATGATTAAAATGTAATTATTAAGATTAATGTAACATTTAATCCCTTGATATCGTTACAATCCCAGACATAAATCCTAGGGAAATCAAGATCAATCGTTGCCCCCCCATCTTTGAGGGTTAATGCAAGACTTCACTTTCATTCCCAGTACCAGTTCATAATTCACCCAAACCTCTCTTCTTGTGTATAATATCTATCTCTCAAGGTCTTGAATAAGTGGGTGGTTTAACATTACACATTTTNCATATCTCTGATTCTACTGTAAACCTGAGATATCTTTCTCATCAATGAATTATTCCTCTGATCTGTTGTAACCTGAGATATCTGTCTCGTCAATGGTTTATTGTATTCATGAAGATATGATCATGTAAGATATAATCATATAAGTCCACATGTTGTAAGCCTTCTGAGAGCTGTCCATGAAGTGCCCGTCCCCCAGCCTTGGTTGAACAAACGGAGCTTGGCTCATACGTCTGTTCTATTCAAGGATCTGGGGTGCACTGTTGAATCTTAATGAATCAGTTCAGGTTAACTACTCTGCATTCATTAAAAGAACAAAGAGATAAAGGTGTGAGGCTGGGGGAGGTTTTTAGCATGAGTCACCTATACTTTAAATATTACATTAAGTTCCTGTATTTTTCTATGGTTCTAAGGGATAGTTAGGAACCAATAACCTCACCAAACCTACAAATTAACCGAAAACAAAGATCTTTTTTATTTAGATTTAAATTAAAATATGGTTGTACAATTTAAATCTTCTGAAAAATTGAAAATAAACAAAAAATAATAAACTGGTAAATAATATTATTTTTCAAAAATCTATGTAATTAATTTACAAGGTAACAAGTGCTGGCAATTGATTATTAGCTCCAGGGTTTGGCAAGGATTATAATACAGAATTTTTAGATTTAAATCTTGAGTCTCCTTTTTCTAGTATCCTTGAAAAGGGTTTTGATATAGGGTTGTCAGATAAAAAAATCTTGAATTTCCTTTATCTAGTATCCTTGGCAAAGGTTTCAAAAAAGAATTTTCAGGTTGAATCTTGACTCTCCTTTATCCGGTATCCTTGGCAAGGGTTTCAAGATAGGAATGTCAGTTGGAATCTTGGCCTGTAAAGAATTGTTTCACTTTTTCTGGGCTTTTCTTTAGCCATCGTAGGAAAAAGGTCCAATAAAGGAATGACAGGTTGAATGTTGACGCTCTTCTATCTAGTATCCTTGGCAAGGATTTTGACAAGGTATTGTCAGGTTTTTTCTTGGCTCTCATTTTTCAAGAATCCTTGAGTTTCTAGACTTAGTTTAGGATCAGCACCAGGAAACCCCATATCTCGCCTGAAATGTAGAATAAAGTAACATTTTTCAAAAGATGAAAAAGCCGAAAAAGTGGCAAATATTAAAAACTTTATTCATAGTTTGAAAAAATTAAATGAAATAAAAATTTTTATATTTTTTACATAAAAATGGATTGGAAAAAACATCATGCGTAATGCTTATTAAAGAAAATGTCTGTCTCAGAGGACTCAGAATCAGAACCAGCTCAAACCAAATAGATTCTAGATCTTGATAATCTATTTGGTTCAAACCAATTTATGCACTATATTCCACAGAGGAGGCGTTAAATCTTTGATTCGAATCAAAGAAATTTTGTTGTTCAAAAGTTTATTTTGTAAACAAAATATTTTAAAGAATAACATATTTGATATGATATTTTTAAGGGACTGTAAGCGTAATTTCAAGTGACCCTCCATGCAAAGATGGCAATGCCCAATTCACAACGGTACTCTTCAAAAGCAATTTGTTATATCGAGTAAGAATTAATATCAGCGTTATAGTTTTGTAAACTGATTATTTTCTTTTGTGATTTCTCTGCATAAGTGATTTGCGTCTATTTCTACTGCTGCTGGAAAGCATATAGAAATGATCAGAAAGAACCATTTTTAAACCTAGAAAAACTACAATATCATTTATAATTTTGATCAAATAAAGGTTTCAAAGATATCGGGCAAATCCATCTTTGCAGGAAGCTGGTCAATTGAAATTATGAAAAGGTTTCACTTTTAAGCACAGGCTTTGAAATAAATTTTTTATTCATCGAACATATAATGAAATCACACTGAAATAAAAAACATATAATGAAATCACACTGAAAAAAACTAAATTTTACTTAATATTTTTGTTATATTAATACCTTAACAGATCCTTCTCTCCTTCAACTATTTCACCTAAAAAAATAGAATGTTAAGAATTTGAGAATTGTTTTAGAATCTTTCTTGAAAGGAATTATTTATGATTTAAGAATAAAGGGTTTTCATGAAGTAATTTTAGTTTTTGTTTATCACTTTGGACAACAATATTGGGGTCCTAGATCTTTTAAAATCCATCAAAGAACCTACATTCTTTTTACGAGCTGTTAAAGAGGGTTAATCATTACTATTTTAATAAAAAAATTGCTGACTCAAAATAGAAATAGTGGAAATAAATTGTCAATTTATAAACTCATTTGATACTCCATACCCTTTTCAATTAGATCAAATGAATGCTGAAAAGTTCTCAAATGTTTAATGTTTTGTGTTGAAATTAATTGAATTATAAAAAAGATAGAACAGTCAATAAAACTGCAAACCACAGGGTGTTTGGAATTTAGAAAATTTATAAGGATTGAATCATTTTGTATAAGGCTAATTTATAAGTTTGCATGAAGAAAAATACTAATACTGTAAGTAATCGATTCGGTGTTAAAGCTTGGAGATAATCCAATATGATCAGGAACACTCTGTTTGGAAATACTAAGTTCAATTATAAGCATCATTTGTGCATGTAGCAAACCTAGGAGCAGCTGTATAGTTTGTCTATCTATCTAATCTATGATTTTAGTTTTGTTCTCTGACCGGCCCGACCGGTCAACCTATTTACCTGTTATCAATAAATCTGTTCAATATCAATCGTTGTTCAGTACGGACAGAATTAGCCCAAGGGGTAGGCTGTTAGTTTTTCTATAGTGGCTGTTTAGCTGATAGTACAGTCAAGATTGACTGAGGGATTAGAGTTTGAGACAAGTAGTAACTAAGTTTGTCGGGCTAGATCGTTACATGCATAAGAGAATTTAAACAAAGACTATGGTAGCCTTGTTTTATGTAATATTTGCTATTTAATAAATTAATTCAAATTATAAACAGAGAAAGTATCAATTCATGTTTGTCAAATTAAAAAAAAATAATAATTTTCCTTGGATTATAAAAATTGTTTTTTTAAGGCTCAAAGCTTAGTTTTGAAGTATTTGGCGTGCTTTATAGTGCTAAAATGTACATGTAAAGGTCTGCAGAAAAGCATAAGTGAATTAGAGCGGTAACATTGAAGCCCAAGGCGTTGCGACACTTTAAAGTCGACCCTGTATTAAAAATGTATGAGACTTTTATATGCAGGCTAGATCTATGTGAGCATTTGTCTAGATTTATGTGAGTATTTGGCTAGATCTATGTGAGTATTTGGCTAGATCTATGTGAGTATTTGGCTAGATTTATGTGAGTATTTGGCTGGATCTATGTGAGTATTTGGCTAGATCTATGTGAGTATCTGGCTAGATCTATGTGAGCATTTGTCTAGATTTATGTGAGTATTTGGCTAGATTTATGTGAGTATTTGGCTGGATCTATGTGAGTATTTGGCTAGATCTATGTGAGTATTTGGCTAGATTTATGTGAGTATTTGTCTAGATCTATGTGAGTATTTGGCTAGATCTATGTGAGTATTTGGCTGGATCTATGTGAGTATCTGGCTAGATTTATGTGAGTATTTGGCTAGATCTATGTGAGTATTTGGCTGGATCTATGTGAGTATTTTGGCTAGATCTATGTGAGTATTTGGCTGGATCTATGTGAGTATTTGGCTGGATCTATGTGAGTATTTGGCTAGATCTATGTCAGCATTTGTCTAGATCAAACCAGATTTACGCTCTAAAATGAGAATATTTTATTTCAGAGTAAAATGGTTTGCATCAATTAACATTAGAAATTCATATTTTTCCTAAATTGCAATTATACATAACGATATCTCTTTCTCCTGTAAAAAAGATATTTTTATACTCAATGCTGCAGAGGAACTTTGAGTGAATATTATTGTTTACGAATATATATATATTTAATTATATCTATGTAGTATGTACAAACAGAATCTTGAAAATAAAAAAAACTCGAAAACGTGATGCTGTGTAAGAACGCCCATGGCAGACTCTGTATTTTTTGCATTTATATATTCTGTTGTTTAAAACTTGACTTTTAAATGTTTTGTTTAGTTTAAGTAAATATTTTCAAAACTTCAAAAAGAATCCTACAGTAAGAATAATAATAAAGGAGGAACTCATAGATTAATTAAAATAACAGATATGACACTAGATCTCGTCTTTTTAAGATTTATGTATTTTTCGTTCACAATAACCCTGTGGCAGATGCCCAAAGAAGTTACGCGTAGTCGGCGTAGAACAGGCTCTCTCTCTGTAGAATAAAAACACGTAAATCTTAAAAAGACGACATCTGGTGTTCTATCTGTTATTTTAATTAGTCTATGGAGGAACTTTACTTCTTCAAAGAAAAACTAACAATGTAATTTTGTAACAAAATTATATTTGAAATGTAAACTTTTAAAATTGAACAACAGAATTTTTATCTAGAGTCTATATAGATAGATTTAAGCAGATAGTTTATATTTATGCTTTTACATCAGAACTATTGTACACTTTATGATTGAAAAATATTGAAAAACAAGCCCGATAAACAAGGACATCCTTTAAATATTTGTCTGAGAAAGTATTATTTAGATATTAATGATTACATCTCTGAAAACTGATCGTTTTCAATTGTGATTTCTCGACAAAAGTGACTTGCGAATTTCCACTGCAGATAAACATATAGGAATTAACAGAATTTTACACTTTTAAACCTAGAAAAATGATAATATATTTTTTATAATTGATCAGCTAAAGGTTTCAAGGGTAAGTGAATAGGACATTGCCATCTTTGCACGGACGGTCACATGACCTGTACAGTCCCTTTAACTATACATGTACAGTCCCTTTAACTATACATGTACAGTCCCTTTAACTATGCATGTACAGTCACTTTAACTATACATGTACAGTCCCTTTAACTGTATATGTACAGTCCCTTTAAAAGATAAATATTTAACCTTGCTCTAGTATTGATGAGTCTACTGTCAGGGGTCCACCCTTCCCCCAATGATCAAGAATAAGACTTTGTTTCTTCGTATTTCTCCTCTACCAATATATAATTAATAATTACTAGAAATATGAAAATATGTATGTCCATAATGCCAACTGGCAACATTTTTCATCACTCTCTTCTACTCTTTTAGAATTATATTCTTTGTCAAATTATTAAATGAGTTATTTTAATACCACAACCAAGACAAAAGACTTAATTCAAATGTTAAACTTGAGATCGTCAAATTTAAAAGTTGCAAGTCGTCTTTACATTCTCATCCTTTGTGGGTAGCGCTGCAAGTTACCCTATTTTTCAAATGTTGATGAATGAAAAGTTTCATTCAGTAAAATTTGACGAATAATGCTACTAAATTGAATTTGGCTCTTGTGCTCCACCAAATGTAAAATAAAAATATAAAATGTCCCGTCTATGAAATGTCTGTATCTATGAAATGTCCTATCTATTAAATGTCTTTATCTATGGACACAAAATAGTTATATTATTTAAATTTTCTATGATATTGATATTAGGTTTCTTTCCCCCACTGCACTCTAGGTTGCTAGGGGAGGGTGACCGCTAGGTTGCGCCTCTGTAATCAGATATATTAGTATTAGCCTGTATTCTCTAAAATTTTCCTAAATAATTTGAACGATTTAAACATAAAATCATTCATGCAGATAGACATAAACAAATATGATTTGAAAAATAAACATTTCTGAGTATTTTTTCTTTTCCTCAAAGACCTCCGGGAAATTCACTCTTTTGTAGAAGATGCTTAAAGTTTAAACTCTGGACATAAGTTTTGCAGAATTTAACACTTCAAACACAAAATCTTGCAGAAATTTTAATTATTTTACTTTCTTCTTATATCTGTACTTTTAGGATTTTTAATGAATTAAAGAATGCAATTTTTATTTATAACAAAGAAATTGAGTCGTTTCAACAAACTCAAATTTTCCAATCCCTTTCTCGTTGCAACCTGATTTTAATATTTCAAACTTGCATAATTTGATCTGATAGATTTTATAGTTTGAAATATCCAAGGTCGTCTATATTGAGGTCAATGAAAAATGGATTAGAACATCAACGTTTTGTGGCAAAGGCTCAACAGTCAACTCCTTGTACCTTTTTCTCTTTGGGAAGAATTAAATGAAAAAACCAAAATGGCCTTTTTTAAAGATAAAACGAAAAGTTTTTTTACCTGAACAGTCTCTGTATAGTTCCAAAGTAGCACAGATGATGTCACCATTAGCGTGGCTGGCAAATATTATTAAGATTACGCAATGAAATTTAGATTTAAAATAAGTACACATAAGTACACATAAGTAGAAATGTGTAGAAAAAAAAATCAGTTCTATTTTAATTAGTACAATAAGAGCTAAATTATTTTAATTGAGTACAAATGAGTACAAATGAGTACAAATGAGTGCAAACGAGTACACATGAGTACAAATGAGTACAAATAAGTTCAAATGTTTAAAAATCAGTACAAATGTTCTAAAAAAGTATACTAATGAGACCTAAATTAATTAAAATGAGAACAAAAAGTACATCTATGAGTACTAAGTTAGTACAAATAAGTACTAAATTAGTTTATATAAGCACAATGGTAAAAACAATTGAGTACAACTGAGTACAAACGAGTAGAAATGGCTACACATGGGTACAAATGAGTAAATGAGTAATTAAGTACAAATTGGTGTTAACGAGAAATAATAATTATTAATGTTTAAAAATCTGTAAAATTTATTTACATATTCAAGCAGAGTTCTGCATTAACACGTGACTAAACTCACAGTTTTTAGTTTGTCATGTTTTATTGTATTTTTGTTCAGTTGGATGAAAATATCTTTTCTGCAGATATTGTCAAAAATAATAAGCATCAAGGAAGAAAACACGTGAAAACCTTCTAATGGACTTTTTTATTCCAGGATTGCATTCTATCTATTTTCTTCATTGATTTTGTTGATAAAATATTTTAGATTTATTTCCCAGGAAAATATTTGACTAAATATTTGAATACCTGAAACTGCAAATATGCTGGCTAGGGCGGGTCCAATATATCTGAAATATTTTTACATATTGTAAAATTGTAAAATTACTTTTAGACCAGAATATCCTTTCATATAACGGTTAGGTTTTTACGCACGCAAAGAAATGTGTTAACATTTTTATTGTAGTTTGAATATTTTTAGCCGGAGTCAAAAACTTTTATTAAAAACTACCCAATCTACAATGGCAAAATGTCAAATATTTCTGTAAAAAACAGTGGCTTTCAGTTGCTTAAGCATATAGAGGTATCCAAGTCTATCGGGCTCTAAAAGTGAGGATTAAGTGTTCACTCAAGGGATTAACAAAAAGTTAACAATCCTTTCCAAAAGGACTATATAATCAACAGATTTAGTTAATTCTTTCAATCTTTATGTTAATGATGAATCATCAGATCTGTGTTTGCATATTAACAATGCTTAATGGATAAATTCCAAGTTTCCAGTTTAAATATTGAATTAATGTGATTTAGAATATCGCCATTTTAAACTCAGAAAACGTTTCAGTATGTAACTCGCGAAAATATAAATATTTTTCAGTTTACCTTTTCCAATATTTTTTATCTGTTTTTCTTCTTGTAGCAGGGTAGTTATGTATGGTAAACCCATTAAGCTCAGTAGTATCCTGACACAAAAATAAGAAATTGGAGTATGTACAACTAGGCTTTCAGGACGCTTCGCACCCATCTTCTATTTAAATTGTGAACTTATAAAAACCAAACCAAAAACACCACAAAAAAAAATCGCGGATTTTTAAAAAAAAAATTCGTAGTTTGTTCAAAATATGAAGAAAATCCAATTTTGTTGGAAGCTAATTTTTGAAATTCCTTTATTCCTGTATTCCTGTATTCCTGTATTCCTGTATTCCTGTATTCCTGTATTCCTTATATTCCTGTATTCCTGTATTCTTGTATTCCTGTTGTCCTGTTTTCCCGTATTCCTGTATTCCTGTATTCTGTATTCCTGTATTCTTGTATTCCTGTATTCCTGTATTCCTTTATTCCTGTATTCCTGCATTCTCTGTATTCCAGTATTCCTGTATTCCTGTATTCCTATATTCCTGTATTCTTGTATTCCTGTATTCCTGTATTCCTATATTCCTATATTCCTGTATTCCTATATTCCTGTATTCCAGTATTCCTGTATTCCTGTATTCCTATATTCCTGTATTTCTGTATTCCTGTATTCCTGTATTCCTGTATTCCTGTATTCCTATATTCCTGTATTCCTGTATTCCTGTATTCCCGTATTCCTGTATTCCTATATTCCTTTATTCCTGTATTTTCTATATTCCTGTATTCCTGTATTCCTGTATTCCTGTATTCCTGTATTCCTGTATTTCTATATTCCTGTATTCCTGTATTCCTGTATTCCTGTATTTCTATATTCCTGTATTCCTATATTCCTGCCTGTATTCCTGTATTTCTATATTCCTGTATTCCTATATTCCTGCCTGTATTCCCGTATTCTTGTCACATCTATCAAAACCCTGATATCCTGTACAACTCCTTCATCCTTGCCAGTATATATTGGACTAAGAACGTGTTAAAGAATACAGAATGTTAAAGAGACTGTAGGCATAGTATCAAGTTATACTTAATCTAAATATTTTGATGTCACATTCACAACGGTACACTTTTAATCAATATAATGTCGTTTTCCCGTCTTTTAATGTGTTGAATTCTGTAAAATCCATACCTCTTTGTCTAAGCTGCATGAAATCCGTAACTTCAGAAAGAAACCACAATTTATGAAAATAGCAGTTTTCAGATAAAAGAACCAGGATATTTAGTCATTATTGCTTACAAGCAGGTTTATGGGTAACCATTGTGAATCTGGCATACTTCTCTTAGAATAGAAACTCAACAGTCCCCAGATATGTCTAACGTTGTCTACCTGTCTATCTAGTCTTGTTGGTAAACTACTATTTGTCTACCTGTCTATCTAGTCTTGTTGGTAAACTACTAGTTGTCTACCTGTCTATCTAGTCTTGTTGGTAAAGTACTAGTTGTCTACTTGTCTACTATAGTCTTGTTGGTAAACTACTATTTGTCTAACTGTCTATCTAGTCTTGTTGATAAACTACTAGTTGTCTACCTGTCTATCTAGTCTAGTTGGTGAACTACTAGTTGTCTACCTGTCTATCTAGTCTTTTTGGTAAACTACTAGTTGTCTACTTCTCTACTATAGTCTTGTTGGTAAACTACTAGTTGTCTACCTGTCTATATAGTCTAGTTGGTAAACTACTACTTGTCTACCTGTCTATCTAGTCTAGTTGGTAAACTGATGCTTTTCTGATGTTTCAGAAGTGTCTTAAGATATTGAATATCAGGATCAATATCAGGAAACCTAGAAATTAGAAAATTTGTATATTAATTAAAAATTATTATTTGGCATTTTCTAAAATTTTATTAAAAGTACATACATTTTAACGGGATATTATTATCATTATAATTATCTACCTCATTATAGAAGGCTGGGGGGGTAATCCAACAGGTGTTTGATAATTTGGAATTCTTTGAAGATTTAATGATATTGAATTCTCCTCCTAGAATATTTTCATCGTATTAAAATATATATATAAATATATCGTATATATATCGTATATATATTTCGTATATATATCGTATTTATGAATGAAAAATTATAAATATCAAAAAACCTGATATTTTTCCCAAATCTCAATTTCTTCTTTTTCTTTCTTTTCTGTCCATTCATTTTGAAGAACAATCTCAAATGGAAAGTCCTAAAATATAATTTAAAAAAAATAATTCCCATTTTTAAATCAGAAGTTTGACTCAGTATATTATGGATCCACCAAAAAATGATTAGATTCGTCGCAAATATTTTATTTTTAATTTGATTTTCATTTTATGTTAACAGTGTACAGTCTTTGAAGCACACAGCGATATATTCTTAAAAACTAAAGTTAAAATTTTTATAACATGGTCAGGGCTACAATTAAGATTTAGTGAGGTTAAATTTAGGATATTTGATACAACAGAATTAATATGTTGCAGAGATATTGGGATTAAAAACTTAGAAGATTCAATTTTTTAATATTATGTATTATTGTTATGCATTTGATATATTTGATTAAATTAACATATGAAATGATTATAGAGTATATAATTATGGGTAGACTATAGCATATATCAATTTGAAAATACATACAGGGTGAGTCAAAAAAAAGGTTGATTAGCGGCGCCTGGTGCAAAGTTGTACAAATCTCCTTTAGGCTCTATGGCGTTTTTTCAATATTTTTTGGAAATTTTTAATTCAGCAAAAATGTGACTATATTTTATTTCTATCAAATTCTAAAATTTTACAAAAATTGAATCACAGAATCACAGAAAATTTGCAAAATTGTAATAAGAAAATTCGCAATTTTCTGTTCTTTTTTAAGGAAAAGTACTTTATATCTTCTAGTTCCTTTCTTCTTAGTTTAATCTAAAATTATAAATATACTCTGTTTAGTTGAAACCTGAATAGCCATTGAAAAAACCAACTTTTCCTTAAAAATTAGACCAGAACTGAAAATTGCAAATTTTCTTATTACAATTTTGCGAGTTTTCTGCTTCAATATTCATAAAATTTTATAATGTGATATACATAATATTATAAACATTTTTGCTTTTCTGAACTTTTGATTTTGAGAGAAAAAAACGTTCGCGGATTTTTTTGGACTACAGGAGTACCAAAAAAAAAATGTCCAAATAGTATTGAAAAAAAACACCATACAGGAGAGATGCACCAAAAAAGTTACATCTTAGCAATAGACGCCGCGAATCACACTTTTTTTTTGACTCATCCTGTATATTTATAGAAATCATAAAAATGAGCCTACAGTGAATTACGCTGTACGCATCATTTATCTTTTCATGTTATTAATGTAATTATGAAAATATTTTTTCCATAAACTCAAATCTTTCTATCTTAATCAAATCTAGGTAGAAATCCGATATCATTAAGATCCAAAAAATTACTTTTTTTTTCGTTTTAGCGTTCTAATGTAAGCCGTTTGGAAGTTTTTTAGAAAACACCACGGGGGGGGGGTGGAAAACACTCACCTACCCCCCCCCCCCAAATCGTGATATGGTTAATACTAGAGTAAAGATTTCTGTGTACCTTTAATATTTCATATTTCATATTTATTAATAAGATTCGATTTTTCAATCACGATGAACTGGAAATATTAATTATATGACCTGGTCCGGGGTGGAGGTTAGTGAAGTATGATCGATTACCAGAGTAGGAACAATATCTTTCCCTGATTCCATTCATATAAGAATATCCTATACTGTCTGTCTGTTTGTATCCAATAAACGTCAAAACGGCTGAACAAAACGACCCAAAGAAGGTTTATGGCGTGAAATTTCTAATTTTTCTATTTTCGAAATCTATTAATGTTAACAGTTTTATCATGACCAAGAAGCTTGGCGGAGTGTAAAACGCTAAAATTGTTACTAGAAGAAGGTCCCGTGATATCCTTGTTATTTCTCATGTTACTAGAAGAAGGTCCCGTGATATCCTTGCTATTTTTCATGTTACTAGAAGAAGGTCCCGTGATATCCTTGTTATTTCTCATGTTACTAGAAGAAGGTCCCGTGATATCCTTGTTATTTCTCATGTTACTAGAAGAAGGTCCCGTGATATCCTTGTTATTTCTCAAAACTAAAAATTTCTTATATCTCTGCCTGAATAACTAATTGTTAGGCCTTGCTAGAGAACTGAATCAGAAAATCCATGGGTTTTCTAAAACAAACAGTGTTAACTTTGTTTCCAGTTTCTTAATACAGGGTTACTCACAAAAGATGGGACTGACTTGTACTTGTCTTATTTAGTATGAACCAAGTTAATTTTATAAGTGCGTTCTGAAAAAAACCCAGAAAAAAAAGTTCACTAAGTTTTCAAATGCATATTTTTCCAATTGATATATTATTTTTTATTACACTATGTACAAAATGAAAAGGTTTGGCGTTGACAGAAGATTAATAATATTAATGAGTTTTACAAAACTAATCATAACAAATCTAACTTAGAGATAGCACTGCTGAAAATTTATCTTTTTAGAAGATGCTTGAAACCAAAATAACTTATGTTAAAAATCTTAAAAAATGACGTCAAAATTGAGAGAGGAACAGTTCATTTGATTTGCATCAATCTTCCTCAGAATCCAACAATATTTTTTATTCAAGTGACTGATAACGAATTATGAAAAATGTCTCTGAACGATAAAGAACTGTAATTATGAGTATATCGGATGAGAAGAGGAGCAAAACTAAAGTTCTCCGTCCTCGAAGTATACCCCCGGAGAAACAAGTGATATGTCAGACTTAGAACCGGAGAAGAAGAGAGAGGAAATATATATCTACTGTTGAACCGAATTGGATGAGACTGAGAGTAGGATATTATAGGAGATGGGGCTGGCCCGTTAATACTGGGGGGGGGTGCATGGTACATGTGCCCCCCCCTTTACAGTAAGCCAGTCGAAAAATTCTCTTGCGTCGCGCACTTTAGAATTTGCTCCCCCCCCCCCCCCTTTTGAAAGTCTTAAGAACGTCCCGGAGATGGGTTAGATTTTACAGTGACGTCTTATGACAGATAAGGAACCAGTTTTATCGTAAACAACAACAAAGGTCGTAAATAAGGCTCTCAGTATTTCTGATCAGTTCATGGACAGGAGACATTTCATTCATCGTTCAAGGAAACAATGTAATTTCAAGTGACCTTCCTCTAGAATACCCTTTAAACATTTATCTGATCAAAAATTAGAAGATATCAGCTTGGAAAGTGATTAATTCTCACAATTTCCAATATTGTTTCTTAAGCAGAAATGAGCCAGTAACATTACCAAAATCACAATTGAAAATATCCAACATACAAAAAAGAAGGAAAAGAAGGTAATTGATATCTCATGCAATCTTTATCATACAATTAGCTTTAAAGGGTACCTTGGTAAATCGGACATTCCACTTTATAAATGGAGTGTCACTTTAAATATGCAGTAGATGATTTAATGTAATAAAATTCATAGTTTTAAACAACACATAAGGTCTTATTGGGTTGCAAAGATATCGGGATTTGAAAATTATAGTTTGTGTCAATTATTTTATGTACTCCTTTATCCTGTCCACATACAGCCATGAGCCCATTAATCCTTTCTCCTGTCCACATATAGCCATGAGCCCATTAATCCTTTGTCCAACCCAGGTATAGTTGACAGAATCCTATCCTATTTGAGACTACAAAGAATGCTTTTTGTGATAGTTCATTAAAAAGGAAGACATTAAAAATATAAAAAAAACGTGTTGTGATGAAACAATTTAGGTAGTCTTCTAAATGTTAAGATTAAATCAATGCTTTGGAATGCTGTTTAAATGTTACTGTTTCTGCTATTATACAACCTGGGTGCTCCCCCTCCCTCCCTTAGTCTAATGTCCAAGTTTAAATTGCACCCTTCGACCGACGGGTTTCCCGACGCTCTAGCGCCTTCGTACGTGAAGCGATATAGACTGAATGAGGCAAATACAGAACTTCAGTTCAGTTCAAAATCCTCAATTTTTCTTTTTTGTCGCGCAGTATCACGGTACATTCCAGTTGATTTCTTGTACCGGGTCGATTTTCAACTATGCCAGGGAAAGTAGTACAGTACAAATACAGACTATATGAGGAAAAACGGTACGGTACGCCAAATGAATGATCCCTTTTACTGTAATTTATGTGACTAGGGAGAGTAGATTATTGAAAACTATTTACTAAAACAACTGGTTAACTATTCCAGAAGACTTTACGCTCTTATTTTGAAATCGTACACCGTAATCCTAAAGTTTTTTTTATAACACTGCACTTTCAGCTCAACTACCATTTCTAGCCGGTCTTTCCCTTTAAGAAGTGTCGAGCAGTAGTTGAGAACTTGTTTCGGATATTTGAGCAATTTATCTACAGGGTGTCCCACATCATATTAGACCGTCAACGGGTCTAAATTGCGATTTTCGGGACTAATAAGAAAATTTAATTCGAATAAATCATTTTGAAAAATAACATAAGGCTTATATAAGAATTTTCTTGCGGAAAATGATAAGTTCTTCGAGTATTAAGGGTTTATTTTGTCGTTAAAGATTAGAGATAATCTAATATGATATGGGACGCTCTGTATATAGTGAGATTGTACTACAGGGTGTCCCAAAAAACATTGGAATTCAGTGACGAATTGGATATCGTCTTTGTTATGAATTAGCATTGCAATACCTAATTTTAAAAGCCACAATATTATTATGTCTGCTAGAGTTTATTCTAAAAAAAGGGGTAAAAGACTGCAAAGATGTGTCGATAATGTCTCCACAGTATGAACAGTAAAGACGGACAAGTTTACTCTGTTTGTATACTGCAATTTTCTTGCTTTACTATAAAGTACAACCGTAGCAGTCAAAACATAAAGAAACAAAATTTGAGCATAGCAGACGAAACTCTTACAGATTACAGCTTTCTCAGTAGGTATCACTATACTAAATCAAAGTGTTAACTGAAAAGACGATATCGAATTCGTTACTGAATTCCCATGTTTATTGGGACACCCTGTACTGCAGACATTATTGGTTTACCTACTTTCTTTTCATTGCACACTGCTTACGCTGGCTCATTTCAAGTACCGGGCCCACTTTGAATCAGCAAGAGCAAACTATACAGAACAACTACGGTATAAAAAAGTCAAAACATGACAATAATCCAAATGAATGATCCCCTGCTTGTGAAGTTTATGCGTGTGGTTCTATCTCAGTCACAATTTTTCAAAAACTTTTTTTAAACTAATTTAAAGTAAATTAAAAATTTCTGTGAAAACTTTTACTTGAAGGCTCAAAAGAATTCTGTTATTTTGTAAAATTTTATCTAAAGATCTTAAAATATAAAAATCTTTAAAAGTACTACATTTCTATTATGAACAGTGCAATAAGAAATAATTATTTGTCGTTCTCGAAAATTTTTGAAGGTTTTCGGACTTTTAAAAGGCACTAAAAAAGAACGGTGAAGGTTTTAAGTTTTCAACAACAGTTTTTTTTTGGTTTTTAAAACTAACCAGCCCATCACTAGTAAGTATTACACAATATTTTTGGTTTTAAAACTAACCAAGATGATCAGATTTAGATTTAGCTCCAGCTCCACTAGGGGTAACAACCTTGTAACAAGATGATCAGATTTAGATTTAGCTCCAGCTCCACTAGGGGAATAGTATATAACGAAAACTCTGATTTTTTTTTCTGAAACCAAGAGAGGGGGCAATAGTTGTTGCCATGTGTATTAACGTAATACATTTGTACAATGAAAGCTATAGATTTATTTTTGAAATTTCATAAATCCCTCACAAATTTATAAAACTTGTCATTTGCCCTCCTCCCACTTTAGAAACGAATTGAGTTTTTGATTTTTTTAAAACCTGCAATATCTTTACAACCCAATGTTGTATACCTTAGATGTTTCTTTTATATTAAATAGTTAAAGTTTGAAATATTAAAGTTTCTCACCATCAGGTTACAAAGATGTAAGGATTCAAACTTGTTAGTTTGTGGCAAATACTTAATTTTGTTGGGCTCAAGGGGAAGCACATTTTTCAGTTTCTACAACGTGAATTGAGATTTTTAAAGGGTGGCACAATGCCCTTCTTACCCCTTCCCCCCCCCCCCATGTATCCTGGTAATCTTTTTATGTAATTTGTTGATTTACTAAAGTGAGAACCAGAAACCTGGAAGACGACCTTTAAGCAATAATTAAGAGTATTTGATGTTATTCCAAAACAAATACTTGTATTAGTAATATTTTAAATCACGTGTTAAGGTAAATGGGTCTATTTACACGGCATAATTGCTGTGTCTATGTACACATGTACAGTCTAAATACCGTCTATAATATTTCAATAAAGTGTGTACACACATCACATTGATAATCTTTATTCTAATATAAACTAATAAAAGATGTTTGATAAGGCTCTATAGGAATATTATTCTAAACAGATCAGATTTGAGATTTTCAAAGCTTAAACCAGAGTAACCTTGGTATATTGAAGGACTTGTGAGCTCAGCTAAAACCAAAGCCTGGATTGGATATAGTAGACAGATTAGCTGAGCTAAATGTAAATTTTGAGATACATTATTTTCATAGTATGTTTATTTCACACCTTTGATCAACTTTGACACTAAAAATAATTTCCAATATTCTAAATTACACATATAATAGTTTTTGCGAAATTTACGATTATCAGCTTTTGAAGACCCAAGCCTTCAAGAACGAAAAACTCAAGGCGGTTGGTTTTTACTAAAGCCAAGGCCATCCAAAACCCCAGTCTTTACTTGGGTCTAAGTAAATGGTAAGACCGGGGCTTACTCGGGTTTAAGCTTTTAAATCTCAACTTAGGGTTACAAATTTATAAATCAAGGTTAAAGGGAGTGTTCTAGAGTTTTTAAGTTTGTCTGTGGTTTCAATAAACCTTACAAAATCTATGAGGATTCCCTTACAATTGCTGACAATGTGGGTAACATAAATACATTTACATAAAATTATGCTCCATATCATAAATTTAATAATAGTCTTTCAGTTCAGGAGAAGAAAGTTCCAAACCCTGATTTTTGACAAATACACAGTGTGGAACGTTCTTCCCCTAAAATAGAGTATTGAATTAAAAAACTGACTAAAATAAAGTTAAATCTAAATGAGATCCTTATGAGTATTTAATCACAAACAATTTTTGGTTTAAATAACTAGAATGTTGGGATAGCGATGTTATTCCTTTTCTTAAAACGTCGTCTTACATTAAAAGCAGACAGAGTATTTTGATTTTGGGGTTAGAATTTGTGACGAGTAAGAATGAATTCATGAAATTAAACACTTGTTATTTTCACTTCGTTTTTATTGTTAGGAGGAGGTCCCACACAGGAGAGGTTCTTGATCGAGGAGCATTTTTTCCTAAAAGTACATTAAATTATACTTTTTCATGTACTGACTAATTCAAGTAGGGTAAAAAAGAGTTTAAATTAATCTATAGAGCGTCCCATATCAAATTAGATTATCTCCAATCTTTAAATCCAAAATACGCACATAATGCTTGAAAAATCTAGCATTTTCTGCAAACAAATTTTCTATTAGGCTTTTTAAATTTTTCAAAATGATTCATTCGTCTTAAATTTTCTGATTTGTCCCCCAAATCGTAATTTAGACCCATTAACGCGGTCTTATTTGATGTGAGACACCATGTATTATCTTACTTCAAAATATTGAATTTAGTAATTTGGCAAAAAAAGATTTTTGAAATTATTTTAATTTGAGCTAGTTGTAATTTGTAAACTGGATAAAAAAATCATTCTAAGCATTCTTTAACAAAAGACTTTTTCAAATCATAAATTATTTTATTAAGTGAATTTGAAAATATATATTTGCCTCATAGTAGTATTAATATCGTCTTCTACATCTATGAGGTTGTCCATTGATCCGCCTCTTCTTCTCCGCCCTTCTCTCTCATCTCTCCGCCTTCTCTCTTCACGCCGATTGACTCCACTTGATTCTCCGCCCTAAGTTACAAAGTAAATTAGAAACGGACAACTGTTTATTTGCACATTTTTTTTTTCAAAAATGACAAGCAAATTCCAAAGTTATCAATTGAACTTTTTTTTTTGGAAAATCTTTCTTTAAAAATGAAGAAGTTGTCTTTTTTTTAACGATAACAATAATTTTATGTGATCCTTCTTTTTAAAAGTTACCTTCCTCAATTAACAGCGGTATCCTTGTTTTTCTCTTTTAAAACTAATAATCCTTCTTTATATTATGATTTAGCGGATAACGTTGTGAATCAATCATGGAACCCTATTCAATGCAGGACACTTGAAATTACGCCGACAGATCATTTTAAATCTTTAAAAAATCTTTTAAAATTAGCAAAATGTTTTTTGCTTTTCACCTGGAAGAAGTTTTTCATTCTTGTAACAAGATGATCAGATTTAGATTTAGCTCCAGCTCCACTAGGGGTAACAACCTTGTAACAAGATGATCAGATTTAGATTTAGCTCCAGCTCCACTAGGGGTAACAACCTTGCCAATATAATAAGTTATTCGAAAATGAGTTTTCTTCAATGTTCCTCTCAATCAATTATATTCTTCTTCCACACGTTGAACTTGTTTATAAATTTGGCCATCTCCTTCTGTCTAGGTTTATTAGGTTTATACCTTTGCTCTAGGTTTAGGTTGAGTATCTAGTATATCTAGGTTTATTAGGTTTATACCTTTGCTCTAGGTTTAGGTTGAGTATCTAGTATATCTAGGTTTATTAGGTTTATACCTTTGCTCTAGGTTTATGTTGAGTATCTAGTATATCTAGGTTTATTAGGTTTATACCTTTGCTCTAGGTTTAGGTTGAGTATCTAGTATATCTAGGTTTATTAGGTTTATACCTTTGCTCTAGGTTTATGTTGAGTATCTAGTATATCTAGGTTTATTAGGTTTATACCTTTGCTCTAGGTTTAGGTTGAGTATCTAGTATATCTAGGTTTATTAGGTTTATACCTTTGCTCTAGGTTTATGTTGAGTATCTAGTATATCTAGGTTTATTAGGTTTATACCTTTGCTCTAGGTTTAGGTTGAGTATCTAGTATATCTAGGTTTATTAGGTTTATACCTTTGCTCTAGGTTTATGTTGAGTATCTAGTATATCTAGGTTTATTAGGTTTATACCTTTGCTCTAGGTTTAGGTTGAGTATCTAGTATATCTAGGTTTATTAGGTTTATACCTTTGCTCTAGGTTTATGTTGAGTATCTAGTATATCTAGGTTTATTAGGTTTATACCTTTGCTCTAGGTTTAGGTTGAGTATCTAGTATATCTAGGTTTATTAGGTTTATACCTTTGCTCTAGGTTTAGGTTGAGTATCTAGTATATCTAGGTTTATTAGGTTTATACCTTTGCTCTAGGTTTAGGTTTAGTAGTATCTAGTATATCTAGGTTTATACCGTTAATTTAGGTTTAGGTTGAGTATCTAGTATATTTAGGTTTATTAGGTTTATACCTTTGCTCTAGGTTTAGGTTTAATATCCAGTATATCTAGGTTTATTAGGTTAATACCTTTGCTCTAGGTTTAGGTTTAGTATCTAGTATATCTAGGTTTATTTGGTTTAAACCTTTACTCTAGGTTTAGGTTTAGTATCTAGTATATCTAGGTTTATACCGTTACTTTAGGTTTATGTTGAGTATCTAGTATATCTAGGTTTATTAGGTTTATACCTTTGCTCTAGGTTTAGGTTGAGTATCTAGTATATCTCGGTTTATAAGATTTGTACCTTTGCTCTAGGTTTAGGTTTAGTATCTAGTATATCTCGGTTTATAAGGTTTATACCTTTGCTCTAGGTTTAGGTTTAGTATCTTGTATATCTCGGTTTATTAGGTTTATACCTTTGCTCTAGGTTTTTGTTTAGTAGCTAGTATATCTCGGTTTATTAGGTTAATACCTTTGCTCTAGGTTTTGGTTTAGTATCTAGTACATCTCGGTTTTTTGGGTTTGTACCTTTGCTCTAGGTTTAGGTTTAGTATCTAGTATATCTCGGTTTATAAGGTTTATACCTTTGCTCTAGGTTTAGGTTTAGTATCCAGTATCTCTGGGTTGGTTCCGTCCTTAAATTCTTGAGAAAATCGAGACAGGATTTCAGAGCATTTCTCCTAATTGAAAATCAAATCAATATTTTCCTCATTAAAAATAAAAATCTAAAACAAAATCTAAATTTTCTTTGAATATTAAAAATTATTCGTAAAAATAATTTTTTTTATTTTTCAAAGTAAAAAGAATAATTAACACGAAGAAGGTAAAATATTTTTTTCTTTATTTAAACAAATATTTTAAATATTAAACGGCAGTTATCCTTACAAAAACATTTAATCTCAAAATAATATTTGCAAAATTTAAAGATGCTAAAAGTTACTTTGCCAAGCTAGAGTTACACAATTTTGTCTAAAAACAACCCAGATCATTTATTGTTTGTAGGCAAAATTGACTGCTTACCTTATTTTCAGCGGAAAAAACATGAGAAAATCTTTGTAGATTGTTAATATCAGTTGTTATATATCCAAACATGGTCGGGGACTCACAATCCTAATGAAGAGTTTGTCAGATTTTAATGAAAAAGTCTAATTTATCTTTTTATGCAAAAAATTAAATTTCTCATAATTTAAAACTTTCATGAAATGAAATTTTTTGAGAGATACATTTTGTTTTTACAACAATGAAAAATGCACGTTCAAAAAAAAAGGCAATCTGTTATTTTTCTTAAATTAAAATAATTTCCATTTTTTTTTTAAATATAGAACAATAAAGGGTTTTTAACACTTGCCTGTACAACACAACAGATGTTGTTTATCTGGTGGTCGTGCAGTACACCCTGGCCCTGAAAACGTACACTGCTTTGTAAAAATGTACAACATTTTTATATTAGCTGTTTATTATACCTCAAAAATTGTTGTTTTAAGTTCTGTATCTGTTACTACGAGTCTGGTAGGCATTCCTGTTCTTTTTATTATGTCACGAGACTTCTTTACCTAATTATTATTTTTATTATTTTTCTTATTATTATTATTATTATTATTNTTATTTTTATTATTATTCTTATTCTTATTATTATTATTATTATTATTATTACTATAATTGATTTTTTCTACCTTCTCTATAGCTTGTTTTGTTGAATCTACTCCATCAAACTGTAGTACAAGAGAGTTGCCGTGGTACATAACCTTATACGTTCTACCATCCTTCTCTTTCTCTTTCACTTCATTTTTTCCTTTTGTTTCGTTGTTAGGTTGGTTAGTGCCGATTTTTCTTGAACATCCATCAAGAGAAGTCTAAATAAATATATTCTAATATTTTTTTCAAATATTTTCTTTAAGGATTGTTATGATCTCATTTTGAAAAGAAACGAGGACTTGCCAAAAAGTCTGAAATATAAAAGTCTAAAATATAAAAGTTTCCAAAGATAAAGAATTACAAAATTTGAGTTTATGGCAAGAGAAGTTGCATGTTTTGTTGACTTAGTACAAATTTCAGTTCTCGTATTTTCCTACCTTAAACCTTCGAAAATTTAGAAACAGCGTTAAAAACTAGGCCGAAAACGCAGTGCTCTCTTGGTCATAATAACATGGGCGAGATGAGGAGGCAACAGAATGTTTAACGCTGCGCCCACATTTTTCGGCTGATCTGACTGTAATTTTTAGGTAATCATTTCTATGACTAGGCCTAGGTTGTATTATAATTTCAAAAAGATTGGAGCATTATTTTTAGTCCGTCCCTCAGTCGGAAGTTAAGCCGACGTCCGGCCGCTGAAAAATTAAGGAAAAGAGTTACTCTTTGTTTGGAGAATGAGGGCTGACACTTTAAACATCTTTTGAAATGATCATCTTATTTTTTTTTTCTAAAAAAAACCTCCGATAATATGTTATTGATAAATGTAATCATAAAAATGTATATCTTTTATCCTGTATTAGATATGAATCAAAATTGGCAAGATAAAAAAATACCCTGTACTTACGGAAGATTTTTTTTGAACAACTTCGATAGATTTGAAGTTTTGAGAGGCTTGAGCTCTAAGTTTCATCTGCGGAGACACATCTCCTAAATTAGATACACTTTTGACAGTTTTAACATTAGATTAAATCAGACCAAGGGTCCAAACTTTTCTATTTTACTTTTTACTGGTCATGTTTAAATTTAATTGAATTCATGATTCATATGTACATCGGGTGGAAAAAATATTTTCCACAAGTAGGGNTAGGAGGGGGTGGAGGAGCCCTTTTCTTCCTCCTTCCTAGGGTTAAAGTCCCACTCTCTATTCCAGGCCGTTTAACCGGAGTCTGAGGTTTATCAAGCTTCTCGCTTCCTTCAGAGGTTGACGAGGTTGCAGTGTTTCTCCGTTGAGCAGAGTGCATTGAACACAAGGGGATATCCTCAGAGGTCGGAGATTTAACCATTCGACCCAACCTTTTGTCTTTATGGTGCTGTTTGTTATCTTTTTGTTTCTGATCTCCGCTTCCGACATCTTCTTTTTCATTTTTCTTTTTTCCTTTTTCTTCCAATTCCTTTCCTTTAACTGGCGTTAAAATCACATCTGCCTCGGCGTTTCGGGTTTTCTCGACAATTTGTAATTTTTCTTCCAGCTTTGGTTTTTCTTTTTTTAGAGGACTCTTTCCAATTTCAGATGAAGATGTTGCAGGCTTTGGGGTTGAGTGTGGAGAGAGATTACAGACCATTTGCAGATTTGATTTAACTTCTGGTTTCTGGGTCTCTGATATTATGTTAACCTTGCCAATTCGTTGTTTTATCCCTATAGGTCCAGCAACACTCAGCAGAATCCTTCTTCTGTGTCCAACCTTCTCAATCTCAACTATAGAGGACAACTCATCATCCCATATACCCCGAACCCTGTCCATATCTACTATTAGGTTAGATCTAAACTTCTCCAGGTACTGATTTAGTTCTAGGGAGGAGAGCCAGGATTCCAGGTTGAGTTCTAAACACTCAGGTTCTCCATTCTCCTTGAAGTGAAACTTGTGCAGTCTATGCTTTAATGAATCTATAAGGACAGTGATGTCTTTTTGATCAGTTATTCCGATTTCAATGAGATCTTCTCTACTAAGTAGACCACCGCCAATATAGTTTATATTGTCATAACCATTGGATTCAAAGTTAGCCGCATACTTGCTCAAATTAATAAAGTTTAGCCATTCTTCAACTGTAGATGTCAGTTTCTCTCTCTTTTTTAGCGTTGGATAATCATAAACAGGTGAGTTGTTTGGTGTACTTATTGTTTCCTTCCCAACCTCAGTCTGTTTCCCAATATTGGCGCCAAAGGAGTCGATAATTAAAGAGATCTTTGACCATTCCTCTTGCTCGTCGAACGGAGACAGGATCGACAAACTTTGTGATTTGTCACTGCCATGTGACACTCTACTTGATTCACTTTCGTCACTCTCCTCTTTATCTATTGATTGATAAATGCAATCTTCCTCTTCTGGGTTGTGTCTTAAAATCACTTCGCCGGGATCAGAATCGTCTGACTCTGGTGATGTTGGTATATGAAGCTGAATCTGCTCATCCCGAGGAATCTCAGGTAGTTTACGTCCTGTTGGCAGCTTACGATCAATCTGGGTACACGTGGATTTATCAGTAACCAGAGGGTTTGAACTAGGCCATAGGGTCGGATCTAGAGATAGCAGCATCCAGGGCTCAGTATATGTTGTTACAGTTCGTCTGCGTGGTTGATATTCGTTCTTGAGAAAGGAAAGAACATTGTGTATGGCTGACTCCGCCTCCCAAGGGGTTGGAGGATCATTCTCCGGAGTTGAAGGTTGGGAGTAGTGGGTTGGACTCAGAGGAATTTCCATGAGTTCTAACCCGCTAGATCTTTCAGTATCCTCCTCCCCAGCAGAGTCCAGGTCTGAATCATAATGATTAGCCCTGAGTTTATATGTGGTTTTAGAAACCAGTACAGCGTTAGTCCCAGGACTGGAACCATTCAACCTCTTCTCTGCTCTCAAATCCAGGGTGGAGTATTTGACGCTTCCTTTTGGAACTTCTCGTCTTATCTTCCGCTTGTATTGTCGCTGGGAGATAAACCGGTCTTTACCCTGCTCCCCGTCGCAATGAATATTGAGGGAACGGTTGCTCATGCTGTTGAGAACACATCTCTGGCAGTCACTGAGCTGGGAGCAGTCGCTGCCGTGTCGGTATACCTGGTATGTATCTAGGATTTCATCACAGGAATGTCTAGACTCTAAAGGAATGTATTCTCTATTTGATTTCTGTTCCTTATCATGGGAAACGTCAACACTGGAGACACTGCTTAGCGTTCGACGATTTCGTTTTCGTCCGCCCTGCTTCTTTGATTTATCACACAAGATATCGTCAAGCTCGTCAAATGATTTTGAACCAGATTTTGAGGAGTAAACTGACTTTTGAGGGATATTTTTTCTACAGTGGGAGGGATCATACCCCCCCTCAGATTCCCAAGGGGGATTTCTTACTGGAGATATTGAGAGATTTCGTCGCGGAGGTTTCTTGGGTTTAATACCAAGTTTGTCATCGACATTTGGAATCTGTACAGGTTTAAGACCAGGTCTTATATGTGCAGGTTTAGCGGGTAGTTTAGGTTTATCTACTGTAGGTTTAGAGGTTAGTGTGTTCTGTGAGACACTGCTCCCAGGTCGAACCTGACAGACCGGAGAGAGGGAGGTGGTTGAGCTGGCTGAGGATATACTCGTATCATCTCCTCGGGTTAATGTTCCTAAACAACAGAAAATATTCTTATGAAATAAAAGATTCAATTTTAATTTCATCCACAAGTTCTTATAATTGGTAGCATAACAAATTACAAAAAAACTATAAAAATGTAAATAAAACTTTATAATTCATAAATGAATAAGAGTGAAAATGTAATTCATAAAAAAACATTTTTTTTGTCATGTTAATTAATATTCATCAACTAAAGTATGGATAGAACACTGTCATAAAGTTTTTATTTATTTAGATTATTTTCACATTCATTAATATAGGGCCACCCACACAGGAGGAGATCGCAATGATGACTTGAAACTCTTCAAATATTTTTAAACTCAAATTTTCCCGTATCAATGCAACCCAATGTCGTTATAGACCTTAGATAGTGCAAACTATGAATTCTGCCTAAGTTTGAAATATAAAAGGTTAATACCATTAGGTTGAAAAGATATAGGGATTAGAAAATTTGAATTTGTGGCAAGCAGCTTCAGTTCTCTCGATTCAACTCCTTTACATGGCTTACATTCTTGGTAAGGAAAATATGAAGTTAATAATTGCAGAAAATCTTGAATATAATGAAATTCCGTACAGTCGTCTCTGAAGTCTCATTATTTGTGAGTAACCCTGTATAAACAAAATAATGTTCTATCAAAATAAAACATTTTTTACATGATTTTACCTGTCATAGTTAGCTCTGACTCTGAGAGAAAGTTAGAATCATAACTGCGGGCAGGTTGAAGAGTACTAGTGGTGCAGTCGGAGCAACCTTAAATGGATTGTTCACATATTTTGTAATGACTCACCCTGCATATGTTGAAATAGCTAAATGACATTTTTTGAGGAATCCCATGGGCATCCTGGGGCTAAAAAATTCGATTTTCTTTCAAGACGGAAATTTAAAAAAAACATTCACGTGCAACGCCGGGCACTTCAGCTAGTCTTTTACATTCATTAACCAAACATTTAAATCATGAGAGAGAAAAGCATGCACTAAGCAATTAAATATTTTAAATTTAAATAATTTTTTTCTGATAAACAGGATGTTTTATACCTGATGTAGAAGAGAATGAAGATATCCTTTTATCCAATTCTTCCTCTGAGGTTGTCCTCCGTCTCTCCCTGGTCTGCCACGAGGTTGCCCTCGGCCTCAGTTCCGTCCCCAGGGTCGAGGAACAGGCAGAATCTAGGATACGGTTATTTAAAATATTTACATTTTTTTATAATTTTCCATTGACTGACACTTTTTGGTTGGCGATTTAACAAATCTAAATTGCAAGAAAAAATACAGAAGGCAAAAAAAATTAAAAGTAATTGTACATTGCTCTAAATTTGAGTTTGTTGAAAATTTATTTTAAAATGTGTTTTTTAATCGAAAATTTAGCGTTGATACTTCAATTTTTTTGTGATTGATAAAGCATAGAAGAGGAAGCGCAAACCAACTTTAATTGTGTAGGAAACATTTGATTGGAAGAAACGGAGAAAATTCGCGTTTTTGTCCAATTTAACCTTTACAATTTAACCTTTACAATTTAACCAGTAATATATACTTTTTCAACAAGCACACAAATTCAGCCTGCTTATAAAAAGTCAATTTTTAAGACAGGGTCGACTTTGAAGTGTCGAAACTTCTTGGGCTTTGATTTTACCGTTCTAACCCATGCTTAAGCTTTTCTATAGCCCTTTACATGTACCTTTTAGCACTATAAAGCTTTTGTTAGCTTTAGTTGTTAAGAATTAATTGACGAAATTCTCATCGATTTTCGCTTGACAGCAGTGCAAGTTGAGCTACCAAATTAAAAAAAATTCATTCATCCATTAATATGATTTTTCTAAAAGTTTTAAGTTACCGAATTCAAAAGTTTCTAATACAGATATCTATAAATATAAATAAATAATAATATAAAAAAATAAATAATATTAAAAATTTGCCATGATTTCTACATAAATGTTACCTAGTGAGTTACTGATTGAAACGTTATCGTATGGAGATAGTGGTTGAGTACTGCTGTTGGAATTATGCTCTATGATAATTCTTGTAATTTCCTTTACAATAGAAATAAACAATTACTTTGCTTAAAAATTTATATCTCTATTCGTATTTAGTCACGTATCAACTCACAAAAATAAGATTTTTTTTGTACAAGTCAATATATTCTAAAAGCCTAATATTTGAGTAGATAACTATAAGAGTAAGTTTAATTGACCCACCATGCAAAGATTTACAACGAAACCATTAAAAGAGTTGCTTGATCAAGGATGTAATATATAAATATGTTTTTGTTTCTTTTTCATTTGCGGATTCTCTGCGAAAGTGGCAGGCGCATTTCTTGCTTACAAGAAGCAATGGCGGAATTAACAGAATTAAACACTTTCAGTCCCTTCAACGGGATTGTCATCGTCATTCTAAGCGATCCTTTAAGCTAAATTTTGCCACCATAAATTCACAACCTGTAAACTCATGTCTGGAAATTATGACGAAGAGATCGCAGTTTTAAAATCTATAGAAAAAGGTGTTTTATTGCTCGTCCATGGTGAGCAATACACTAGCAGCTTACAGGAAAAGACTATGTCAAAAAATCGTGAATTTTTGGATTGACAAATCCAGATAAAAATCGTGTCTGGCATCGTTTATTGAATAGGTCTTAATTCTGGTCATGTTAAAAACGAAAAAAAGAGAAATTGAATCTGAATGAATTCTGTTTATATTTTCCTTTGTTCTCTGTGTTTGAAGCTCCTCCATGATGTCAAGAATAGTCCGATCTGACGAATCCCTAAATATGTAAAATAATTTAAGTTTACATAGTCTTCAAAACATTTTATTAATTTTAGGAAATTTTGACAAAATTTTGTTAAAAATTGTGCTTAACTACGATAAAAGATATGTTTGTATGTTGTTCACAAAACATAGCCTTTGAGAAATTCACAACTTTTGCTACAAATTCTCCCAACAATATTAAGGGACCTAATTTGCACTGATTCCAATTCTTAAAACAATATTGGGACCTAATCCACTGATCCAAATTCTTACAAAATATTGGGACCTAATCCACTGATCCAAATTTTTACAAAATATTGGGACCTAATGCACTGATCCCAATTCTTCCGAAAACATTGGAACCTAATGCACTGATCCCAATTATTACAATAAAATTGGGACCCTTAAAACTGATCCCAATTCTTCCAATACTATTGGGACCCAATTTACTGATCCCAGTATTGTGAGTTTCTCCCAATTACAGTAAGATCCAAATAACCACTGCGCTGATCCAAATTCTCCCAATAACATTGGAACCCTAATAACCAATGCACTGATCTCAATTCTTCCAATACTATTGGGACCCAATTTACTGATCCCAATATTGTGAGCTTCTCCCAATTACATTAAGACCCAAATAACTACTGCACTGATCACAATTCTCCCAATAACATTGGGATCCAAATAACCAATGCACTGATCACAATTCTTCCAATACTATTGGGACCCAATTTACTGATCCCAATATTGTGAGCTTCTCCTAATTACATTAAGACCCAAATAACCACTGCACTGATCCCAATTCTCCCAATAACATTGGGATCCAAATAACCATTGCACTGATCCCAATTCTTCCAATAATATTGGGACCCAATTTACTGATCCCAATATTGTGAACTTCTCCCAATTACATTAAGACCCAAATAACCACTGCACTGATCCCAATTCTCCCAATAACATTGGGATCCAAATAACCAATGCACTGATCTAATTCTCCAAATAACATTGGGACCCAATTAACCAATGTACTGATCCCTATATTTGGAACCAATGTACTGGTCCCAAAATTGGGACCTAATGTACTGATCCCAAGAATGTACCTGAGCTGAGTATTGATTCCTTGATCAAGAAGAAGTTTAACGACCTCAACCTTCCCACAGAGACCGGCCTCGTGAAGAGCTGAGCCTCGGCTAGTTCGAACATTTATATCTATACCAACCTAAAAAGAAAACAGTATATGTTTTTAATCAAATTTGCTTCAGGTTGAACCCCTTTAAGTAAAAGGTTGAACACTTGACATTTTTATTGACATTTCAGAATTTTAGATTAATATTTGTAAAAAAATGGTCGTTTTGTAGCTCGCCCATCCGTAGTCTTGACATAACAACATAACAAAAGTAAAGTTGGTATGATGCTGCCTACGTACTACGTATACTTAGGAACAGAAGACGACAGTTGACACACTGTAATTACTAGCTGTACTAGCTTGGGAACCCAGCTATGCATGGAAACTAAACTTTTTCTAAAATATACAAACCATTCAACTTATACAAACTAAGAACATTCCTGTGGTGCTAACGAGTGCCTACCTTGATGAGCTGTTCCACGACCGCTTTATGTCCATTCCTGCTTGCTAGGTGTAGAGGGGTATGGAGATAAACCATTGAACCGTAGGCTGTAAACTTTCCAACCATCTCAGGGTGGGTTTCAAGCAGAATACGGACTGTTTCAGTTCTTCCATACTAGACATGATACATAGAATACAGTGAAAACTAAAAAACTGTGGAATATGAACATAATATTAGCAATACGTAAATGTATTTAGTATTTAGTGAAATGGGTCTGTTTACACTGCACAAATACTGTGCCTCATGCTTATTGTCCATGTTAAAGTTATAAATTAATTCTGAAAGCCGTCTTCTTATTTCAGAGTTTTTAAAAAAAACTATTTTTGTTAAAAAAATCAAGTAGTCATAAACAAATAATAGAGAGATTACGAATCGATCAGTTCTACTTAAAATTTTTTTTTTCTTTCAATTTTTAAAGAGAAATTATAACACTCCCTTTAAATAGAAATTATAATACTCCCTTTAAAGAGAAATTATAATACTTCCTTTAAAGAGAAATTATAATACTCCCATTAAAGAGAAATTATAATACTCCCTTTAAAGATAGTTATAATTCTCCCTTTAAATAGAAATTATAATACTCCCTTTAAAGAGACTGTAGGCGTAAATTTAAGGAAACTATATTTAAAAGAGAGGCATTTCCGATTCCAAAGGGCACCTTTAAAAAATGTTTAGAATTAAAATATTTACAAGTTTCAAAACCGACGATATCTTCAATATTATTTATTAAATCAAAGTGTTAAAGGTTCCGTCTAAATAGAGTCACTTGAAATTACACTGTACACTGTACACTTACACTGTACACTGTACACTGTACACTTACAGTGTTCTTAAAGGGACTGTACACTGTACACTGTACACTGTACACTTACACTGTAACCTTATTCACTTACACTGTACACTGTACACTTACAGTGTTCTTAAAGGGACTGTACACTGTACACTGTACACTTACAGTGTTCTGTAAGCGTAATTTCAAGTGACCTTCCATTATAGTGTGGCATGTCCATTTTTATAACGCTACCCTTTAATCCTTTGTCTTATCAAGGATTTCTTCGATATTTTTCTTTATATAGCGGGAAATTAAAGGCCAAGAAACTGCGCGAGTGTACACTAGCATGGAGTGTAAATATACACTGTAACCTCAAGTCTTCTCTTCCGGTGTCATTACATGCACAGTCCCTTGTATGTATTACCTGGGCAGCAAGATCTAGAGCAGTTTCCTCTTTACTATTCTTAATATTAGGTTCAGCTCCTGCTCCTAGAAGCAGCTGAACCACCTCGGTATGCCCATACTGAGCAGCACAATGGAGAGCTGTTTCTTTATCCCCGTTAGTAAGGTTCACGTTAGGGATAGATGGTCCGGTAGTTAGGAGTATTTCCACTACCTACGACAACAACAATATAAGTCGTTCAGTTAATTATCTATCTTTATATAATAAAGCTCTTTACTCATAATCATATATATATATATTTATTTTAGCCATAGCTAGCCAAACAGCTGGACCAAATTGGCTGACATTTTTTTGAGGGAACCCATAATTATAATTTTTTTCTTCAAAAATCATTTTAAACTGAATTTTTTAAATTATAATTTTTTTAAAAAATTCCACGGGCAACGCTGGCCACTTCAGCTAGTTGACAAATAATCCCAATTAGAGATGGAAATCGTTTTTTAAACGGTTTTTTTAAATCTTAAGAGGCTTCACGAGATTCTGAGATATTTCTTATTGTTCAAATTTGTGTGCTCGATAAGTTTGTGTTTAAAGCAAAATTTTTACTCTGACCGAACAATTGGTAAACAAAATCGGTTCAAAGAATCAGTTTGCTCAATATCTTTGATAGAGAAAAATTAGTATGATTTTAAAAAGAAAACTTATGGAAAATCGGGTTTTAAACATTTCAGATTCGTTGGAGCACCTTCTAAATCCAAAAAACGTCGGTAGTTTGAAAAAGACTTGTATACTACCCCTTGCTTCCCATGTATTTTGGTACACCCTGTATTGGTCCCGTGTAAATTGATGCACCCTGTATACTACCTCCTGATGGTCCCATATATATTGATACAACCTGTAAACTACTTCATAATGTCTCATATATTTTGATACACCCTGTATACTACCTCCTGATGGTCCCATAAATATTGATACACCCTGTATCCTACCTCCTGAATATTGATACACCCTGTATACTACCTCCTGATGGTCCCATAAATATTGATACACCCTGTATCCTACCTCCTGAATATTGATACACCCTGTATACTACCTCCTGATGGTCCCATAAATATTGATACAACCTGTATAGTATACAATACGTTATACTACCTCCTGGTTCCCAGCCCATGCAGCCAGATGTAAAGGAGAAGATCCAGCTCCATCCACACTGTTACAGGAGGCTTCATAGCTCAACAGTAATCTAACTATCTCCTAAATTACAGGAGGCTTCATAGCTTAACAATAATCTAACTATCTCCTAAATTACAGGAGGCTTCATAGCTTAACAATAATCTAACTATCTCCTAAATTACAGGAGGCTTCATAGCTCAACAATAATCTAACTATCTCCCAAAAACATGTTGAAAAGTGTTGAATAAGTATTTTCAAGAAAAACGCATTTAAAAAAAATAAAATAAGAAACCCGAAATTACAAATTAAAAATATTCATTTCCAAATAATTTTTGTCAATCTACTTCTACTGGTAAAAAAACCGTTTCGGTTTAAAAACAAGATTTCACACATTTTAAAATGTAAAATTAACGATGGTTTTGCATTGTTAATGAATTTAAAACCCAAAAAAGTTTTATACTAACTGAGAACACTTTTTTGTTGCCCTAAAACATTGTAAAAACTGAGGCCCCGGCTGGAACTTGACTTCAAAGCTTAAAAAATCCTAACCTTATGATTATTAAGTGAAGCGTAGTGTAATGCAGTATAGCCTTGTGAATCTCTGGAGCTAATTCCACCCTGTAAAATAAACGATATTACGCCAAGTTTAATAAGTATTATACAGTTTTCGGCCTTTGTATCAATACAACAAATACGACATTTTGATTTAAATTTTGATTTCTAAAAAGCCTTTTTTTAAATTATATGTTTATTAGTCAACAAAAAGAAGTTGTAAAGTTGAAAGCTTTTCGTTATATCCATGTTTATGTGTACCCATGCTGTTTGAAAGCTATACAGAAATCAAAATTGGAATCGAACGTCGTCTTTATTGTATTGATATAAACGACAACTGTACCACCCTGTAAAATTAATCAATGTTACTGTGTGATAGATATTTATTATTCCCCCCTGTAGAATAAACAATGTTACTCTGGGTAAATGTCTACTATACCACCCCAGTCCCCAGTCTAGTAGAGTATGCGATGTTATTTAAATGTCTATAATACCGTTAAATAATAATAATAATAATAATAATAATAATAATACGTGTTAAATTAATCAATTACTATTTCATCGAAAATATCAATTCTTTTATTCACTAGAAAAAATATACAGTATAGTAAAAAAGAGGCAACATTTAAAAAAATGGTTAAATATCTTTTATACCACCCTGTAAAATAAAACAACATAACTTTTAGCATAAGTTAAAAAAACGCTTTCTATTCCAAATAACATAACAAACTAATTCACTTTTTGTCTTTCTAAAATAAAATTAAAACTCAGACATTTCGAAATTACTTTCGTCTGTTATTTTAGACGCTAAACCTAAATATACGAAATAAAAACAAATATTTCTTTCCATTTGGAGAGATTTAATCAATACGGAAAGCGATTTTGAATAGAAAATAAACAGATACAGCTTTATTATAAACATATTCTAATTATATTCAAGTACAGTTCTTTATATCAATACTGTTGTTTATCTTAATATTTATAAACTAAATGTACACATGAAACTGTGGAAAAAGAAGACGACTGATAGGTTAAAGATTAAATATTCTAATGCATAAGTACAAAAATTCCGCAGTGTACAGTTCACAGCAACCTCTTTAACTTAATAAGTTCATTTCAGAAGATTGCATTAATGTCGTATTCCAAATTTTTATTTTTTGTGTCTCACTAAAAGAGGGGGAAAATTCCACGAATATTTATTTTACACATTATAAATAGATTTTTTTGTGAGTTAAGATTAAGATTCAAGTTTATTATTAATATAATTTTTCTTTTTTCTTTCCAACAAGTTGTTTCACAAATATTATTACCTGTGCTCGTCTAAGACTGGCGAATGGTCCCGGTTTCTTTGGTTTAATACTGAGGATTCGTTCAACAGCGGGATAATTACCACTTCGCGCCGCCTCTATCAACTCCTGGTCCCGCCCCATCCTAGTCACCTGTAGTGGGTCAGGGGGCGTGGTCCTCCAGGACGTGGTCCCGGTCTAATGTATCCATTCTTACTGAAGGATGGGTTTCAAACAGCTGACAGGCCTGAGCCTAGGGTCGATACTATTCAGTTCTACACCTCGGCCTCTACCCCACCCTCAAGCAATTGGAGGATGGGGGGGCCTCCGTACGGGGGAAAAGGAGTAGAATCCTCGAGGCCCCCCCACACCTCAGCCCAATGCGTCACTTGTCCATCCTTTATTGGTATTCCTCTGTAATAAAGATTTCACGCAGGTCGGAGGATTATACATTTTCAAAATTTTTCAAAAATAAAAAACTTTTAAACAACAAATTTTAACATTTTGATCATTCATAAACCTTCCCTGGGGTAACGTGAGGTCACACAAAAAATTTGGACCCGATCGGTTCAGCCGTTTTGACGTTTATTGGATACAAACAAACAGACAAACAGACAGACAAGCCAAATTTACATATAGACTAGCCTTATAGAGCGCTTCGCGCCCATCGGCCATCTTCTAAATTAATTGTGAACATGTTCTCTTTGTGTACAACGTAAAACAAAACAAAAATAATTCGCGGATTTTCACAAAAAATTTCGTGGATTTTTAAAATTTTCAAAAATTTAATGAATATCGAATTTTGATGGAGACAAATATTTGAAATTTTGATCATTCATAAACCTTCCCTGGGGTCACGAGATGTCACACAAAAAAATTGGGCCCGATCGGTTCAGCCGTTTTGACGTTTATTGGATACAAACAAACAGACAAATAGACTGACAAGCCAAATTTACATATAGACTAGCCTTATAGGGCACTTCGCGCCCATCTTCTAAATTAATTGTGAACATGTTTTCTTTGTGTACATCGTACATTCATGAGTACCTACTGCTATACGGCTATTTATTTAGTCCTCTTTCGGACATTCATGAGTCCCTACTGCTATAAGGCTATTTATTTAGCCTTTTTCGGACATTCATGAGTCCCTACTGCTATAAGGCTATTTATTTAGCCTTTTTCGGACATTCATGAGTCCCTAATGCTATAAGGCTATTTATTTAGCCTTTTTTCGGACATTCATGAGTCCCTAATGCTATAAGGCTATTTATTTAGCCTTTTTTTCGGACATTCATGAGTACCTACTGCTATACGGCTATTTATTTAGCCCTCTTTCGGACATTCATGAGTCCCTACTGCGATAAGGCTGTTTATTTAGCCCTCTTTCGGACATTCATGAGTCCCTACTGCTATTAGGCTATTTATTTCGCCCTCTTTCGGACATTCATGAGCCCCTACTGCTTTAAGTTTATTTATTTATCCCTATTTCAGACATTCATGAGCATTGAGCCCCTACCGCTATAAGGTTATTTATTTAGCCCTCTTTCAGACATTCATGAGTTCCTACTACTATATGGTTATTTATTTAGCCCTCTTTCAGACATTAATGAGTCTCTACTGTTATTAAGTTTATTTATTTAGCCGTCTTTCAGGCATTCATGAGCCCCTACTGTTATTAAGTTTATTTATTTTGCCTTCTTTCAGACATTCATGAGCCCCTACTGCTATAAGTTTATTTATTTATCCCTACTGTTACTAAGCTTATTTAATTTTTTGCCAAATCATTTATGATATACAATTTAAATGCAAGAAACAAGGGCGTATTCAGGTCTAGGGGGGGGGGGGCATATTACAAACTAGCTGAAGTGCCAGGCGTTGCCCGTGGAATCATAAAAAACGAATAAAAACAAAAAACTTGTAACCCTGAAATCAGAGTTGCATTACATTGTAATGAAAGATAAATAAGTAAAACTGGGTTATATACTAGAATAACAATTGGAATCTTATAGATACAGGGTGTCCCACGAAAATCGTCTCTCAGATGACATGTTTCGTGTTACGCCCTGCAAAATTGGAGCAAAATGGTAGATTCAAACTCTATATTATTTTTTGTCGCCAAAAATGCAGGGCCGGTTACAACCACAAAAGATGACAAAAAACTTTCTTTATTTAAATATACTAACCTTTTAGGGCACTTCGCGCCATCTTCTATTTTAATTGTGAACATGTTCTCTTTGTGTACATCGTAAAACAAAACAAAAAAAAGTTCGCGGATTTTAACAAAAAATGTCGTGGATTGTCAAAATTTTTAAAAATTTAATGAAAATCGAATTTTGATGTCGATGGACATATTTGAAATTTTGATCATTCATAAACCTTCCTCGGGGTCACGTGAGGTTCCACAAAAAAATTTGGGTCTGATCGGTTCAGGGCCGTTTTGACGTTTATTGGATACAACACCCAGACATGACAAGCTAAATTTATATGTAGATGAAGGTTTAACGCTGTCTATTAATGCTTGACAGAAAAAGAAGTTATAGATAAATGTAGAAAACCATAAATGTAAAACATTCATGATACATATACAACAAACATTCTGTAAAATGTTAGTCATCTTTCTCATTCTCTTTGATGGTTAATATGAAAAATTCACCTTTTAAACATACTTTTTTGAAATTTTATTATTCTTTTATTAATTCAAACATATACCACACCATCCAAGGAGTATGAAATAGAAGATATAATTGACGCAGCCTGCCCTACCATTTGATTATATGCTTTAGAGACGGTACTTCTTTTGTATAAGAAATATTTGTCTGATGTACAATTACCGCGTATACAATAACCTATTCTGCATTTTTGGAGTACCCGTCTGCAAAGCATGCATAATCATATGGTAGGGCGGGCCGCGTCCGGCGTCAGTTGTATCTCCCTTCTATTCCATACTCATTGATAGCATCGAAATTAGTTTACTACAAGGTTTCTTCAAAAGTCGTCGTCTGATCTGGTATTCTTTCTCTTTTTCGTTTTTGGTTCGTTTTTTCCAAAGTCAAAAATGGTTCGTTTTTTCTCTCAAAGTCCAAATTTAGCCTGATGTTCAGAAAGGTATTTTCGAAAACCCTGAGAGAAATATATGCAAAAAAAAAAATGAACGTGTTAAAGTTATTGTTCAGTTGTCTTTTATTATAGGATAAATATATGGCAAAGTTTAATAAAGAGTACAGTTTTAAATGTTTAAAAAAAGAACCAACCAACACGAGTACAACAACACTAGCCGCACTGTAATATAGTATTTGTATCTTTACCTTTATTCCCACAGAGAAGAGAATTGATAGAGTAGAAATGACGAGTTTCATCTCTATTTATATTCTCTACTCTCTGCTTATACCTGATTCTCATGCAAGATTAGATTTGTCATTTCTGTAAAAGATATTTACCCGGTTTAAAATTTTTTTTTGGCACCTTTACTGAAGAAGGTGAATCTAAATTTTAATTATTTAAACCTATTTTTGCATTGTGAATTTCCACTTTGTAAACAGAAAGGGTTTATCTATAACTGTTTCATTGAAAAGAACATTCGAAATAAATAAATATAAAAATAAAAATTATTATTATATTACATTTTTTTCTGCTGTTTTTTTAAATTCCTCCGCAGCATACTAGGAATTATAGCACCATGTTTACTGAACCACTCTTTCAATATTTAAAGGTAAGTGGGGTGGGGGCAAGATGCTCCCCCCCATCTGAAATCACTACTGGTATCCATCACGTCCATCAAACCGGAAACAGATAATCCAAATATAAGATCAGTCAAAGTTTTAAAGGGAGAGACTGGGCTAGACAAGGTGACTGAGCTGAAACTGCAGTATTGTAGAACATTTTTATAAGACCTTAAAGGTATTTTTACGGTGTATAATTGTTCAACAAGAGCGCAAATTCAATCTTTTAAATCCTCCTTGGCTTGCCTCTCTTTAGGGTCATTTTTATTTAAGCTTACAATCAATATAGAAGGGTGGGAATAAGGATGAAAGGTTTACATGCAGCCGTCGTCGTATATATTTATACGAAGAAGACGACTTTCTAATTCAATTTTTATTTCTACCAATCTTCAAACAACAGAGACATATAAACATGCAATTAAAGAGATAAAGTTAATTAAAGCATTATTATCAAAGCATTATTATAAAAAGTCGTCTTCATTGTATTGATATAATCGCCGACCACTGTGGAGATCAAAAGGAGAAAAATAGACGAGGGGGGGGCTTTTAGTTCAAGGGGGGAGCAATATGTTTTGAGGGGAAGGGGAACTGCCTTCATATTGTCCCCATATTGTATTTTCCTTGTTTTGTTTATAAATATGTTTATATATATATATATTTATATTATAAAGCTCTATTGTTTCCAATGTTAAAGACCGAATGAACCCTCTAATAGAGAGTATATATATATATATATATATATTATATAATAGGGTCTAGAGCTGCAGTAATCAATTCTCTAACTATACATACAATACATCATAAAACACAAATATATCAAGATACATGTCCACTCTGCACATTATTCACCGTTTTTATAAAACAATTGAATTTTGGTTATTTTTATTTGTTTTTTAATTATTATTGGTAAAATTCATTCTTTACTGACAAATTCTTTTAATCAGTTCCTGAGATTGATAAACTTTTATAACGTTAGTATGAGAGAAAAAATTCATTTCTGTAAATCGAATATTATAGATGATTGTTATAAAAATGGTCCAAAATAAAAGTTTTAAAAAAAGTAAACTCTTATTATTTTTCTTCAAAAATCTTCAAAAAACCTATTGATTTTTTTGTTTAAAAATGCCATATTTTTTTCTTTTATAAATTCAGAAAACAAAACCATATTCTATGATAATTATTTTTTATTACTTTTAAGAAAAAAATGGATACAGTTTTCAGCGAACGAATTTTTAAAGCTATAAAATGTAAAAAAAGCGGTCCATGTAAAATATCTAAATATTATAAAGTTTTCTTTTGTAAATTATTTTATTTGCAGAGTTCCATGATTATTCTATATTTTGTCTCCATAGCTGAAACATTCTGAATTAAACTGTTTAATTTAAAACTTTTTACTTGAAACATGTGTCAACAATATTTAACATTTCACGAGGATTTCACTTTGTTTAGTTTAGACAAACAATTATTTAGGTCTTTAAATCTTTATGTCTACGTTTCTATAAACTTATCATCTAGGTCTTTATATCTTTATGTCTACGTTTCTATAATCTTATCATCTAGGCCTTTAAATCTTTATGTATACGTTTCTATAAACTTATCATCTAGGTCTTTAAATCTTTATATCTACGTTTCTATAAACTTATCATCTAGGTCTTTATATCTTTATGTTAACGTTTC